TAATTCGAATTTGTAGTTTATTTAGAGTGGGGAACATGACTGTTTGACAAGGCTAGCTTGCATAATGTAGTTATCGATGAGTTGGATAGGGTAATTTTGAACTTATAACACCTAGAATGATTGAAAAGTAGAGGGAAGAAAATGCAGGCTAGTGCAGAACTAACCCACCAACCGACCAAGGCTTGAAGAGAAGGAGGCCGGTGTCGCTTGGTCGCACTCTGTCATCTTGAAAACGTTCCATTTGAATGAGGATTCTATCTCAACACATTGCACGGATCCAATCTAATGGATTGGATCTCGGGATCTCGAACCTACTACAACTCATGAATTAAAAAGTAATTTCAACACGAATGATGGATGCAAGTAGAGCTGGTGCACAACTTGGAAGATCTTGTTGACTTTCAACTATGGATTAGCAGCTTGAAGCAACATTGGATTCCATAGTAACGCTAAGACTGCTCTGTGACATGAGTATGCGCTATGTTGGTGGCCATACTGAGCATGACAGTCGATGATGTGGGTCACGTCCCGTTGGACACAACCGTCAGCGACGGTCAACCTGACGATCTCTCGATTCCACAGTGCGCAGCGTCCTGACACTGTAGACGCAGTGTCCAGTACTGTACTGATCACAGTTTACAGAAGGAAAACTACTGTACTGTATTGTACAGTCCGGTACTGTACACTGTGCAGTACGGTACGAGTTTTGCCTTTCATTGACGCAGCCAAGTTGACTGCTACCACTACACTCGCCCTTCGCCTCAACCACGTAGTCGACGTATAAGCTTGACTGGTTGCAATCACTCAGCCACAATCACTTCAACCAAGCAAGCCAACATCACTGTCAACGACGCCGCCTTCAACCATTTTGCCAGGTCACACCAAGATATGACGCCAAAACGCTTGACACGCTGCTGACAACGTCGTCACTCATCGTCACCCGATCACTGCCACTTCCAGCATTTTCCTCTTGCAGTCAAAGAAGCAAATCCGCCATTGCTCTTTCCATTGGAGAAAGAAGAGAAAGAAGGTCAGAAAAAAAAAAATGGATGGCCACTGTAGATAGAATGTGTTGGATGACGCCCTATGTTTGTTGTTGAATATTTTTTCTTTTAATGGATTTTTGCCGACCTTCTTTTCTTGCGGTTATTTTCTATTTAGGCAGAAGCAATCACCACTTGGACCAGTTGGAAGCCAGAGAAATATTGACACATTTTCAATCACTTCATGACTGACTGCTTACTGCAGTCAAAAGGCTCCCCTGTCGCTTGTTGAACAATCGCTTTTGTTCCATCTTGACGTACAAGGCTTGAAAAAATTAAAGTTGAAAAGCTTTGACCTATTCAATTGCTCAACAATCTTTTCATCCAACTCAATCTATCACCGATATTCAACGGGTATCATCGTCGATATTGCTGGAGGGGATATACTCGTCACAAGCCAAGCGATCGATCTCCCTCCCCCCTCCCCCACCTCCCTTTCCTAAACTTTCACCGTTTCATTGCTTCGTTTCCCGTCTTCCTTAATCCCAACGTCTAACCATCATCCTTGACTGGTAAAATAACAAAAGATTCTAAATCAGCTTCAATTGGCATCGATTTGCAATTGCTTTCTCTAGGGATTGACTTATAGCCTCTATTCCAACACAACACGGATAGAGTCATCGTGTAATTCTAGTTTGGCTCGAGCGTTCATTTCCCCCCCCCCCCCAAAAGGCAATCACTACTCGCTAATCATACCAAATCACCATGTCAATTTTAGCCGTCACAGCCAATGTTGGATCCATCTTTGAAGATGTAAGTTGCATCGGTGCTTTCTTATTACTGTCTATGTAAGAATGTTTTCATGTTGGATTATTTTTCTTCTCTCTCTTTCTCATTATTTTTTTTTTCTGTCTCTCTCTCTTTGGCTTTTCTCTTCAAGTCTTTTCATTTGCAAATGCATTTTCTACCACCTTTTTTTCAATGCCCCTTATTCAAATGTGCAAATTGCTGTCATTGAACGTGCAATGGAGACGTAGTGATAAAGAGAGAGAGAGAGTGAGAGAGCGAAAGAGATCAGTAGATAGCTAAAATACATCGTTCATCGTTATCGTTGAGTCATAAAATGATAAAATAGACTAGGATTTTCTACCTAGTACCTTGGATAGCGATCTCGTCCTTCTTCTTCAGCTTATTTCTATGCCAATGTTCACTTATTAATGGTAATAGCGTTTCTTACTGTATAAAAATTCAATCTTAATTCCATCAGTGATAGCAATCAGGATGATAATTTAGAAAACGATTGTTCCATCGATTACTTTTGCATCAGTAATGAAGGTATCCTGTATCCTTCAACAGTCCTATACAGCAGTAGAAAAGTTTACTCGTTAATAGGCATCAATCATGCTGAGCGATTTGCAGTACTTCAATGGATATAATACGCCTATAAATAAGTAGTAGATAGTTGATGCACATGTAGCAGAAACAAGTTATGGCCTGACTGAGCTACGAATGGAAAAATCAATATACAAACTCGCTTTAAAATTTAGACTTGTTCACGTTTCCACTAAATTATTCAAAATATTTCAATATCTCTCATACAAGCACAGCACATCCATTTTGAATTCAATGGCCTAATGATGTTAGATTGCATTTCCTTTTTCATCGAGAGCAATCTATCCATATCTTTGTCGATGACGAGCACTATCAACCGTCTTGACACTGATCTCTTACCACATAGTCAATTGTAGTACTGTAAAATACTTTCAAGATGGATAATACATACTTTACTCCAACAACACCAAATGAATGCATCGACAACACTATAAAATTCTCCGTTCCCTTCTTGCATGTGAACGGAAAAATGTCTGTACTCATCTATTTAAACCTATTATTGATTATCCACCATTTAGTCAGCCGACCATGATTTTACAACGTCAATACAGATCAATTCACAAGTGCCGTATGATTGAAAATTTCTCTATCAATCCATTCCATTAAAAGTGGATTACAATGTATCATTGGATTATAATTATTCATCATGATTGGACATGAATATTTAAAATGTAATCTCTTGTACCTTGAAAATCAATCCATCACCCACCTTGAACTTTTTGACCGAATGATTTCAAGTCTTCAGTGAGACGTATTGCAGTCGTTCTTTCTCTCTCCCTTTTTCCATATCGCCTAATATCCATGCAAGCTATTTTTCTCCTGCTTCTCCCTCTTGTTGTACTGTATTGTCAATTATTTTTCATGTTCTACTTGTAATCCATCATTCTATCGTTATCGATCTTTCTCTTCAACTCTTTTGTTCTTACCAATCGCAACTAATGGGCTTTTATTGCTTAACTTGAGCACCATTGAATCATTTTGACCTTTTTTCATCGACTAAAAATCATCTACAGTATATTATAATTATTGTTACTTTGACCGAACCCATTGAAGCCTTGATATCATCAACTACTTCAACATTTGTTTATACATATTGATTTGCTTTCCTCCCACTCTTTTTTACGCCGTACACGTTTTTTTGGAACATTTGCTTTTCACTTTCTACGTAGTACTGTAGAATAGACTAATTTTGTTTTCATATTCGAATGGAGTCTTTCTCCCTTGTTGTTATCTAAATGGCTATGACTTTATTAAATTCAAATAATCATTTTATTGTTCTTTGTTCAAAGCCCGACAAAATGCTCAAGGTCTGGATCGATGAATTTCTACAGGTAAGCAGCCGCCATGTTGAAGTAGGAATGTCAACAAGATACTACTACATGTACATCGAACTCGATGAATTCCATAGCAGTATTAGAGACCTTTTATACTATTGTACTTTATTTTTCTGGCATGCGGGCAGAAGATTGATAAACATCTATAAAATCGCAGTTGATAACAAAAAAAAATACTCATTTGTCCACTAGCATACTATTGTATTTGTACGCGTATACTGTATAGTATATCCTTTATGGAAAGTAACCTATCCTGTATCAACGAGTGTGCAGGCTTACGGCCTTGAACAATTAACTTTACACTAACATAATTTTAAAAAATTATTATTATTACAATGAGTTAACAGTTTAATTCCTATCTCGTCTCTACCAACTTACTACTGTATTTTAGTGAGCATAATACTCCAATCATTCTCTATAGTGCTAAGGAAAATGCATGCATGAAACGGGAAGAATAGTTATACTGTACCGTCTGTTGATAAACCATGTTGGAATTGCTATTTTCTCAACGCTAGACCACCTCTAGTTCGATCGCAGTCGTGCAGTACACCAAGTCAATGAATTTATCTTTCTTTATTATCAATTATCTATCGGATATTTAGCTAGAAAAGTCGAATATAAGAAAGTATTACTGTAGTTGTTGTATTATACAAAAAAAATCACAGCAGTAGCTGTTCACGGCTATAAATTTTTTTTCCCTGACATACGATAAAATATCCAATCTTGTAATCAGTAGCAACGATGATTATTCATACCGCTTATTGATCTCTCCTAGACTATAATACAATACTATCACAATGTATAAAATAGAAAACAGTAGAAATGGAATGTACTGTGAAGACATCTGGTTTTGGTGGAACTCAGTAGAATTTATCTATTCACTGCAACAAATGCTATAATGATGATCACGATCATTGTTTTCGAGCGCTCTATTCTACCCCTATTATAATTATCGAATCGATATCCTAGTTTAATACTACAGTGCATAGTAATCAATACTGATTATACGGTATGTGTACAGTATACGTAGTTAATACTGTATATGTTATGCAAACCAATCGAAGATAGCTTAAGTACCAATGATAAATGTTAAATCAACGCGATTACTGTGCTTGGTAAAATGTTGAGACGGCAATAATAGGTGTTTCGCCTGATCTTGATCCTATGATTGCATTTCTCAATGTGGCCTGCTGCTATTATTCTGTAATACTTAAAGTAATTGGAGAATTTTGATTGATCTTGCTTTTATTCAAATCTTTTCATCTGTTCTATCTAGGAGATTGAACGATTAAAACCTTTGTTTGTAGCCATCCATTGTCAAGAAGTTGGTGGTAAAGTCTATGAGAAATCGATGCAGCATGTTGATCAATTTGTCGAGTATGTCGGTATTTAGAATTGATTCAATTGAAAGACAAGATATTTAAAAGATAAAGTACATTATTTAAACCACTGAGTTAATTCCACATGTAAAAGACTATCTTGTCAACGTTGTTATCAGCACTCATCAACACAAATCAATACTTATTTAGCCTTAAACAAGTTCATATCCCTTTTTTATAGTATTGCTTGACTGATAACATACATATGCTATCACACGCTTGATTTGTTAAATTAATATTTGAAGTATGTCTAACGTCCAGGTGTGATAGAAATCAGCAATATCTATCGCCATTTATCTTTGTTATTGCCGCCTAAAGAAAAAATCAACAATAGTTCAGATTGTTTGACTAGATTTCCTGTAGGAATTGTTTTATAATTATGCAGATATATCTATATGTATCATACATTTATAAATATACGAGTACTTAACGAAGATATTTATACAACATGCATAGTGTGATGATATCAAGTTGAATATTAATTATCAATGCGCTTCCTTTAACATGACGTCATGGGGAATTGTTTTATTTTAGGACAGACAATTTCCCATTTGATTTATAGTTAATTGTTTATTGATCCCTTGGACGATATCACGGTTAACTATCATTGAATTTTTTAGAGTTGTCCATGTAGTCATTTATTTTGATGTTTTATGCATACCGTATCAGAGATATTTCATGCTTACTGTTAAAGCGTTAAATTAACTCTATCATCTTAGTTTAATGTACGACTGTCGAAATCATCGAACGTGGACACAATTTATTTTTGTACAGTTGTTAATAGTTGGTACTACAGCCTGGCAAGTCAGTATGAATTGAAGATACTGATCATTAAAAACAATTGGGACTACTTATTTTACTAATTAATGCTACGTATAATAATGAGAATAGGAGTAATGCAGATAGAATTTGCCACACCCAAGTTAAGAATGACGCCTGAATTAAGCAATTCCTTCTCATACTCTTTTGTAGTGAAATTTTCAGTAATCGTTTTGTTGCACACCTACAAATATTTGCACCTTAGGCTACCGCTTGAGTAAAATATGAAGTTAAATGGATGCAAGGACAACGTTACCCAGTAGTTATTACATTTAAAATTAACAACTCCCTAGATTGAGTAATTTTAGCTAAAGTGGCTTGTAAGCTCAAAGTATAGAAGATGACGATCCTACAATATTAATGATGACATTTTATAAGTGTATTATAATAGGGAGAATTAAATTGTAATTTTCGATGGCATTCCGCTACTGCCGACCTCGCGCTTATGTCATTAATCATATCACTGTCATTGCCAATAGCGTCTTTGGAAACTTACAAAAATTATCAATAAGTTGGCCATTTTTGTTACCACTGTCTTAATGAATTGAACTGCTAAACTCCATGAAGCTCTCGATTTCTTGTTCATTAGGTTATCCTTTTGATGTTTTTTTACCTACAGTTACATGCTCGTAATTAAATACAATCTTTGTGATTAGCCAGCTGCTGTCAGTTGAATGACAATGCTGCACCAATTATCCCGTGATTGTTCTGTACTATACTTTATATTTGGTATACTTTTACTATCTGAGTCATAATAAGTAATAAACCCTACTATCCGTGAAGCGATTAAATTGGCAATATGATTATTATTAAAAGCCTGCATTACAACGTATTAATTAACTGCCGAGGCGGACATTGTTTATTAACCTAAAATCTATTGATAAAATTCATGTCGAATGTTACTGGTTATATAGATATACTGTTGGTTATTTTCACGTGTAAATTGAAATTAAGTTTCTGTCATAAGTTTCATAAAGCGTAGTAGTACGAGCGATAGCGGTTATAATTCACTTTTTGTTTATTGGATTAGATTTGTTTAATATGTACGTCATAATAACGACTTTAAACTTTGCAGACAACTAGGACGAAGTGAACGTATTAAGGATTACGACAGAAGTCTATTTGTTCTAGACGAAAATTTCGAAGATTTAACAAAATTTACGGTAAGTCTTATATCTTGTATGCAATCTCCTTCAAAGATAAAAATAAATCAGTTTTTAATCGTTTTATTGGGAAGATAATCGATCAATAAATGTAGAATAGATCGATTAATTAAGCAGTTATATTACATATAGCACACCGTTTCGTGTATATAGTCTACCTATTAGTTATGCAATTTCTCCTTCATGAAATATAAATACAGCTTTTATTGCTTGCATTATTAGGAATATTTCTTAATCTATGATTACAACTTTATGTGTACAATATTTGATACCTTAGTTGATGTAAGTGTTGTTTAATTAATCTATTTCATAAATACTTTACCAATGATGTAGGCTTTAGGTAATATCTACTTACTGCATGAATCATTAACCGATGCAGAGGTTTGGAATTTTAAAAGTAAGTGTTGGATTTGAATTGATTGATGAAATGCAGACACAAATAATAATGGAAAATTTAATCTGTAGTAAGATGCATTTCGTCATCATATTTGGTAAATTAAATCAATGTGTATTTATAAGTGATATTATATCAGCAGCGACTGTTACATCTGCCGTACTTTGTTATAATTCTAATAAATAAGCAAGAATAGATCTTCATTCAGAGTAAATCGAGCTCTCATTGTACGTTGTACCGGGGACTACAACGAGAGAAAATATTTTCTCCTATTTTTAGTAGTCCCTGCTTGCACTGGCAAATGTGGAACTCTTCTTTGAATCGTTTTTATACTTCGTGATGTCCTACTAGAAAGAATTAGATTATTTTACTAATATAATTACTGATATAATATGCTCAATCTGGCACGATAAATTTCTTTTCGTATTTGTAGGCGAACAATTTAAAAAAATTGAGGGATTAAACGTAAGTGATTGTCTGTGAACAGTAGTTGTACGGATATAATTACAAGTTAATAATAGGAGTGTTACAGTTTCAGTGCGTAATAGCCCATGTTAATGACTAAAGAATCATGTAGAGTATATGTTGTATAGCATAAACAAGAAAATTAATTATTGTAGTGTACTATAGATTAAATAATACCCTTTCGATGTTGATCATCTTCAGCGAAACACCCTTGAATTTTTATTGGATAGATAGAATAGATATCTTAGCTTGCTTACTTGACTACGCGCAAAAAATAATTTTGCTATAAATGATGATCGATATAATACTGTATATATATATATTGGCAGGTACATACTAAAAACTTGCAAGATGTCCAAATTATTCAAAAAGTGAGATTTCCAGATGAATATTATAAGCAAGTAAGCTAAAATAGATTTGTTTAATGGCTGGATTACTCGGTTTTTTTACGCATTAATATCATCATCAAATGTGTATTATAGCAACTCACGCTAGTTATTACAACATCGAAATAAAACGTGTTGAAGCAACAACACTTTGAACTTGCAGTCTTTTAAGAATTCCATTTTTTTTGTTATTTAAGACTACATGGACGAGGAAAGGCTATATGAGACTGAGATGGAAAATTGGCAATTTGTAGGTTTCTTACTTGCTAATTCATACATTAACTCACTGATACTTATCATTAAAATTGTAATTTTTTTAATATAACATCTTAATTAATGAATACTTGAAAATGTTAATGGTTGGTATTTCTTTGATTTGGTATCTCTATAGAAATATAGACTTTGTCAATGTTCACCTATTTCATGATGCTAGCAATCTGACAGCATACGAGGAAGTAAGTTATTGCAGGAGTTACTGAGTTGCTGCTATCTTTCATATAGTAATTACAATTCTACTTCTGTAACTGTCATTGCGCGATCGGGAATTATTCGTCATTTAAATATCATTTAATCATGGAAATTATCTACGTTATTGTTCTAGTCCCCTTCTACCTTTAGTTATAGTCGAAGGCGCGCCCTCGAACAGATATTAAACGGGTATTTTAAATCATGTCAGATACGAAATTTTAGCGTTACTCGATAATGACTAATTTCTTGTGTAACTATTTTAGATTTGAAAGTGATAATCTTCCGGATGCTCCTCTATTCATTTTCGGCGATTTCAATTTTAGACTTGATTTACGTTCCGTAGTTGACGTAAGCTAATTAATTAAAGCAAATGTTCACATGTTTGTTTAAATCGACGAAATTTATTATATGATCTGTATCGTATTTAGATTTTATGTCCACCTGAGGAAGATCGCTACTCAAAGAAGAAAACGAAAGAAAAATTGGTATTTAGAGATGTTGATAACAGTGATGAGGTATGAAAATTTGCGTTTGTGGTTATTTTTCACAGATAGTCAATGCTGTTATAGTTACATTAATATTACTTGATACAGGCTGTCCTTACCATCGAAAAGAAAGTTTTTGATTATGGTGATCATAGTGTTTTTTATAAAAATAATGGAGAAAAGGTGAGCTGATAGTTGCAAGTACTAATTATTGCAGCGGAGCTTATCAATCATCTTTAATTAACATTGCGATCGTAGTTCGATGTCATTTCTTTAATACAATGCACCATAATGCATTGTAAATTATTATTCGCAGATGCGGGAATGTGATCGTGAAGCGGATTATTTCAAGGATAGACTATCAGAATGCCCTCGTAATTTTCCTCCAAGGTAATAGCTAACTTGTAATATTTTCTTAGCGTCCAAGCTGTAAGTGCAGTACTCAATATACATTTACTTTACCTCTTAAATTTACATTAATAGCTATCCTTATTGCGAGGATGTTGCTGCCGGTACGACATATATGAAAACAAGGTTAGCGTCTTAAAAATGTTGTGTAAGTAATCGCTGACGGAGACTTGCTGCTAATGTCTGAAAATATTTCGGTACTCTTTAGATGTCCTGCATGGTGCGACAGGATACTCTTGAATAATGCCGCAGTACCCCTTGTAAAGGTTTGCATCATAAAATTAACTTTACTTCTTTTCTTTATTTAATCAGTGGCTCATGTAATTGGCTTGAATTATTTATTCTAGCATAACAGCAAGTCAACGTACACATATGATGTCATAGGTAAAGACGTTTGCATGGGCGATCATAAGGTAATTTACTTGATATTGTTTATACTTAATTTGGTATTATTACAATTTCGATGAGTAAATGGACACTCGCTCTATTGATCTATTTAGCCTGTCTGCCTTCACTTTAAGCTGCCCAGCGGTTGGCGAGATCCTAATAATGGTAGCAGCAACAACAACAGTAACCCAGGAGGTGAGATTTAAATACTATTTATAGCTAACTCTGTCTGTATTTGTTACTTTACTGTAGTCAAATCAATTAGTTGTCGGTACAATTAATGCATTCAATGCCAAAATGTTATTTAGCAGCAATTTCTAACTAATTTCGTTGAAGCAAGTATTTATTACTACTAGTAATGCATTAGCTTGAAAATCTCGTAATATTTAATGCTTCTAGCATGTCTTATAACCGTCTAACTTCATGCTCCACACAACCCTTCAATTGGTAATTGCTTTCATTCTTTCTTTTTAACTAATCGCTTGCAGACAGTTAAAGCTACTGCTATAACACTCTATAGTCTACTTGACTTCCTAGTTTGGTCGCCCATCAATCGTTTAAACTGTCTAGCAATGCATCTTGCAACTATAAGGCTGCTATAACATCAAGTAGTATACGCTAATAGGCTACCTGCAACGCTAACTATGGTCAACAATCGATTATTGACCATTGCGTTTCTTATTGAATGTTAATGGTTTCTTCATCTTCTTCCCAATTGGTATACGTGCCCACACTAGTTGCTATAGTAGCTTAGATTAGTCCGTGTAATAATATTTTTACTTACTATTTTATTTTTTGTACACGAGCTAAACTAACATCATTCGTGGCAATAAGTTATTTCTGCAATGGTAGCACGCGAAATCGTTTTAAATTCTTCTGTAATAAACCTGTCGCAGACTGCACATATGCATATAAATAGATAGGAGGCCTTCTACGAAATTCTAAAAATTTTAATTAGTTAAGATTAGATTCGGATCACTTATTTAAATTTTACTGAACTCGACGATTAGCAGATCTTAGCTAAATTTAGAAATGTAAATAGATATAGATGAGAAATTCGGTCATCCTAAAACAATTTGCTAAAATTGTTAATGGTATTTATGTAATCTGTCGATTAATTTATCATGCTTGTTTCTAATTAATGATATTCTACATATATTAAAATTCTATAGCATACGTTTAAGATTTTAACTATATTCCTTTAGAGTGATTTATAAAATTTTCGCCCAAAGATGGTTTACTTATTACGTTAATAGTAATCTACGTAGATATAAAGTTTTGAATATCTTTATTGCGTTAAATTTTTAATAATTACATTATCGATGAACATGTGTGATTTAAATGTAACATTTCTGATTTTTGGTAGCGTAGGTATTTAAAGTAATACTATTGAATGATATGGCATTAAAGTCTCTTATAAAATTGTAGCTTTTGTTGGATTTGACCAATCTCTGACTTCTTACTTAATGACCTATTAAATGTCCTCCCTTATTGTATGTAGTAGCTTACGCTAACTAGAGCATCATATGCTAAGACAGTTACCCCTTCTAATCTTACTGCATTACAGTTTCATTAATGATTACTGAGCCACCCAGCCCTAAGGATTCCTACAATGTATGTATTAACCTGCTGATTTTTTCTATCGTACATTCACGTAGTATTGGCAGATGGTGATAATGAATGCTTAAACTGTTGTGTAATCTCATAATGGATCGGCGTATATTTGGACTGCAACTCGGTCTTGTTAACGATATAAGTGCAGATAGCATCAATTGCAATTGCCCACCTTGAAATTAATTCATTTCGACATTTAAAAGTTGATCTTCCATGTACTCGAATTTAACTGGTATGATGCTAGGACGGGAGCCGATATCGTTAACTCACACCTCGAAATTATGGAAAAGGTGTAGAGGATGTTGCCGTGGTACCCTTGATCTAGATAAATTTGTATTGTTTTTGACTATAAATTTAAAAATTAACAACAGCATTGAGCGATTTGAATTTGCGCTGAATTGATCTACCTTTCTAAGAAGACAATACAACTGGTTCTTGATTGTAAATGATTTGGTATTGATTTTATATTACTTAAAAATTGTAACACATTAGTGCTGTTATTTTTAATAGTCTGACAATTGCTTTTCATTCATGAAATAGAACGTTCGACCGTAAGCTATTTTACAACGAGACTAATTAACTATCAAGAATACTTATATATTATAAATCATTCAACTTTTATATGTGAAATGAATATTTGATATACAGTTATTGATAATGAATGTTGTAAAATAATACAAATTAACCATAACTATTTCCAAGGTAAGAGACAATATTGTCATACGTAATTAACATTATTGCTAGTCTTTTATGATGTAGATTATAAAGGCACTGTTTTATTTCATTACAATGTTTTTGTGCATGAAGAGGTGCAATGTTTACAGAATTCAAAAATGTATGCCATGATGAATTATTAGCTAAGTTACTCTAAGACACATTGCCTCGTTCAAACTTAGGATTAATATGAATTGTGTCACAAATTGCAGAGGTCATATTGATCGCTTTTACTATAATTATTTGCAAAAAAAATTAACATTTGTCTTTCACTGTTTTCTCGATTCTCTGCATAATTACATTTTTTTGTTTAACTGTTTGTATTCAGCAGTACAGGTTTTATCTAAGTTCAAATTTTTTAGTTCTATTTTTTATCAGTATTCTTCCGTAGAGTTATAAGAAAAACAAATTTCAATTGTAGGAATTTTCTATGTTGTGACTCCTGAGATTATACTGGAGTTAATTTGTATTTTACCAAAAATAAGGCATGGTGTATGGGAAAAGAACCTGCGTCGTTATTGATATACGCGTAGGTCACTGAGTGTTTAACTGATTGCTTTTTCCTCACATAGTTATCAATCACGAAATTGTTTCACTTTTGCATCTTTTTTAAATTTCAAATTACCGAAAGAAGAAAATTCTTTATATAATGGTATTAAACAATCTCAAATTACCTGATGAAATTTTTCTGTTGTTTTAATATTTCCATTTCAATCCTAAAACGAATATTTCAATATTATTTGGCAACACTTTTAGTATTGCATATTTGTATGTATTAATGTGAAGATAGAGAAAATTCTAAGTCAATAAACGCTACGTGTGACATGGACTCCTACCAGGGGTCGTACGCACACCATCGATGAAACAATAATTGTGCTTATGATGATAATCTATATTGTACGATCTACTTGATAGTATCAATAAATACTGAAATTGTTTTAATTTTTACTTGACTGTGAATTGAACTACAACAGATAAATTAGAATGTCTTTTTCTATTATACTCTTATACCAGACTGAAATGGTAGCCTTTCCACTAAATACCATCTATGTGCGGTGGCAATCACATTCAATAACAGTACTGTATATCCGTAGGTATACATTTTACTAATCCACAAAGTAGCCTTTATGGTTGCTTTGCTTCAGATGAAATGGAAAAATGTTAGAACTCAAGGAAAAACTAGGAATTGTGGCTTTGCAGCTGAATACTTTAGTTGAAGTAATGTAAATGGACAGCTTCGGTTTGGTCTCTTGTTCTATAGCTTTATACTAACAGCTACGCACGTACAATGACTTCAAACAAGCGAAAAAGTATCGAATAATTACTATCCAGTTTAACGGAAGCCGTAATGCTGTGAATATCAAGATATAATGTGCTTAAGTATTTTCAACGCAGGATGAACATAACATACATGTATATATGCGTTTTTATGCAGATTCCTATTATTACGTTTACTGTAATTAAATGAATAAGAGTAACCTCGGCGTTTACATAACTGCTAGTAAAAGGCGAGTTATGATATTGAAATTTTTGAAAATATCTAGCACAGAAATTACAGTAAACCAAATTAACCCATATTTAAGATTAAATGGCAATTGCAACTATGATTACAGTCGCAGGCCGTTTATTATATAGACAATATTTTACAATTGACTTTATACCTATATAAGTTGTAAAAGCACCGATAATATAGAATTTAAATTTTACCGAATTATACTTATAGCACAAACGCACTGTAAACTTGCATGATAGAAGTGCACCAATGAAATCAACCAGGTATCAGGCAGTGGAAGTGCAATTAACATTTGCACTTCGTAAAACACCTATGCTATAACATCCACTATCATCAATAAAATTAAATATATGCAACAACAAGTACAATGTCAATATCTTTCACGTATGCAGATTGCAATAACGTTTCATAAAATCATATACAGTACAAAGCATTTCATAAATGATCTTATTTATCGATTTAATAATTTCTTCGATTACTGTGTATTTCTGTAATATTCTACCATAATTTGGCTAGCATACTAAATAATGTAACCTTCAATATGTTAGCGTTCGTTATAGATGAATATGTAATGATAACATAAACTACCTTTGTTAGCATAAAAATAAAAATCTGACTGTTCATTTTCATTAAAGATTCGTAAAATGTACTGATAAATAATATAACCGTGCGTACGCGTATCGTTAGATCATTATAATTATACTATTAACTAAACCAGTCAAGTAAAATTAGAGACAATGAGCACATCATTAAAAATAGCAAGATCCATACACGAAAACCAGCATTATTTTTGATTGCCTGTAAAGAAATAATAGCAATTAGGTCAGTAAACAATGCAAAAAAGGGCAATTCCAACTGTTTAGAAATGATTATCGTATAGTGTATGCTTACTAAAAGATGGTGTACATATTTAAGATTTTAATAAAAAATAAAAAATAATGCTATTACATATTCTGCTTATTCTGTAATACGTACTAATAATTAATACTACAACTTGATTGTCTAATGGCATTATGCAGTACGCTCATGTAAAAAGTTTTAAAATAATTTTGCAAATGGTAATCGTGATATATGTATACGACTAAGGAATAGTTAACGCATGCTTGTCAAAAGTATTCCTGTCGATAATCCACAGTACAGTCTATTTAGTCTAAATCTATAGGATTTGTCGCTTTTACATTACACTTTTACGATAAGAATACTATCGATAACAATAACCTCTCGAATCTCTTCATTGCCTTCTTTGATATTTTCCGTTGTATCCACCATTTTATCGGAAATATTTTCAATTTGTTTGCTCTAAAAATATTAGTGAATGCATAATGAAATTAAATTTTCGTTAAGAAATAACATTTGATCAGTATATCAACATTGATCGAGTGCAATAGTAACCTGTTCCAAAGTTTTCTCAGCAAATAAATTTTGTAACTTTGATATCTCAACTACACTTTCCTCAACTCTCCTAAAGGTCATTTCACGAATAAGTTAATTTAAAGCGACAATAATACACTATTTGCCTGAAACAAATGGATAGGCATAGCGATTAACCTTATTTCGTCGACCATTGAGCCCATTTCTTCGAATATTCTCTTATTTTCTTCCATTAACTGAAAGTGTAATAACAGCTAGTGTCATTTAATCCTTGAGCTAACATTATTGAAATTAATCACCCCAAAATTTATACCTGAATCCTTTCTGCATCATTTAATTCTTCGTCAGAATCTTCGTCTGGATGCAGCGATTCAACTTTGATTTTATATCGCAGAAAAAAGCAGAATGGTATTGTAGATCAAACCATATAAAAAATGCAAGCAAAATTTATAATAGCAATAAATCTAGCTATAATTCTCACAATCAGTTTTTAATTGGGCAATGTGTTCTGTGTTCCTTTGCGAATCCACACCTAGTCGTCCTCTATTTCAATGTAAGCACAGATTTTAAGAGAGAATTGTGTTCACTAATTTATAACTTGATATATAGGCAATAGATTAGCCGAGATTCAATAAATTTTCTTCTAAATTAAGAAACTTACAATTTCTTTTTATCTCCAAGGCGTTGTGTTCTGGTATTTTTCAAATCATTAAAATTTTTCGACACATCTATATTAATAGAGTAAGGGTGTATTTCAGTTTATTAGAATATATCAACATACCAGAAGTGCAATTGTGATTACTATAGGGTAGATTAATAGTAATACCTTTAAAATATTTTTCAACCAATGCTAACACATTTTGACGGTGCATGGAATTTTGGGCATCGAGTTTATTTTGATTGACTGTAGGTTATAGGCATATAACAGCATCGTCAATCATCATACAAGTATTTTAATATGGTAAAATATTTAAAACATTGAGCTTGTTTATAACATTTTAGCGACTTTGGTGTAAAGTACGTTCAAGATGTCATGGTTCAATATTCAATGTATTAACCAACAATTATTATTATCTTCAATGGCTACAGGTGTATTAGTTATCGTACGTACCTTCTGATCGAAGTAAGGTGATACTATTACTGCAATTAATCATTAATTTTTGTGTTTCAGCAACAACATGATCAAATTTGTGGTCATGATAAGACGATGAATCCGTAACCAGTTGGCTATAATGACAATCGAAGTCAAGAAAAAAGATTAAAAACTTAAGAATCAACATCAATCCTCTATACAACTCCTTACAATATATACATATGCGTTTACAAAGCTGTTACTCAAACTGGAATGCTCTAATAAAAGGATTTCTCAGCATGCAGTTGCACTATTTAGTATTAACTCTCAAGTTGGATGGTTTTTGACTGAGAATCAACATAACCAATTATTCTTGTAAACACCCTCAACACGAAAAATCAGCTAGATAGCATGATTTATTCGATACATTCATTCTCCACGGTCTGTCTATCATCATGTAATACTAATAAGTTAACATGATCACGCATTGGACACTATTTCCATGCTGTTACTTATTTATCATTCCCTTTACACGATAACGACAAGAGAGTAATGATTAATTAGAAGTATCATTACGGGATTCAATCCTGACTGAGGCTAAAGCTATTCCTAACCGATTACAGTATACCGTTCATCCTTTCAATTACTACCAATTTGATCAGCATTTATCTACAGTGTCCTTTCTAATTTATATTGGAAGAATAATCATTACATCACTTTCAAATTACAATATTTTTATGATTTGCTAAATGTTTCATTTAGTAATCGTGCTACTTAAATATTATCGTTTAATGCAAGGAATCAATCTAGCGAATAAGTCTACCGTACTATCGAAGAGAAGGAATATCGAAAGCGTTCTCACCTTGACATACTTAGGAATTCAGTTTTATAATTAGCCAAAAAGTCGCTTAATTTCGATATATTAGCAATCTAAAAGCAAGCATAATCGTTGAGTAAGATGATTTACAATATGTCACGATTGCTATCAAGATACTGGAAGATCACTCTCTCTAATTACGATTCAATTCTAGACTGAATCATAGTGAATTCAAGATCCACACACAGACAAAAAAGAAATATTAGATCCAATCCATTATATCATTCTAAATAGATTGAACACCATAATTATCACATCGTAAGTGATCGCTCCATCAGCGTTGCATCAATAAGGCACTCCATCGAGCAAAATTTTTTGATCATCAACACGTCCACTAATTTACTGGTTGCAATGCCATTTCAACCATCCTTTACACTTTCAATAAGTTACTAATTACAATAGAGCTTTCAGCTATCATCCAAGCTCCAGTTGAACACGAATAAATAATATTCAAGAAGTAGCGTAGCGTAATACAGGCTCATCTGTTAGATGCTTCAATTTATTTTCAATAATTAGGATTTAATGGATCATCTTATTCCTACCCTAGTTTACTATACCATGTACATATACTATAATTATCGTTTGATGGTAAGGACAAAATCGAATAATAATTTGGCATGGATCACAAGGTGTCCAAATAATCTAGAGTGGATGTCAAAGATGCGATGAAACTCACCAAGCCTTTAGCTCGTTTCGAAAATTCACAAATTTTCTTCTCTCTTGGCAAGATATTCCTGGAATAGTCACCTTCCAGGCCTAACGCTTTACTTCGTATTCGAGCAGTCTTGACACTGGCGTGGAATAACTGCGTTAAATCCATTGCTGATCGCTACTTGACAGGCCAATGTTGACAAAATTCTTTACGCTTCCAACCAAGGCTGCAAAGATCAGCTATGGCTGTTCTAGAGCTATTTGGATATGCAGTATTTGCCGTCAAAGTTGCCAAGGTTTCTTTTTGATACTGTACATACTATACTGTTTGAAAATAGTCATTCATGACTATACGGTAGAGTCAATTCGATAGACTGATTGGGCATAATCTAGCGGTGTCAGCATCTGGAACTGGTAGAAAAAATCGATGGTAGTAATGATACTTAAACACTCTCTTGTAATATACTATATACTATGGATATGAGATGAAAGAAGTGGAAATAATCATCTATAGTAGTAATTTAATATGGCTGCTAGCTTTTTCGTCCTTGTTGCAGACGATTAATTCGCTCTATCTCTTGTCACTAAGGTATTTTACACGAGTGATTAATAGCACTAACTGCTGATAGCTATTCATTTCCCTATAGCGATTTGAAACGAAAGTTGTGCACATCCCAATTGAACTAGAATCTCCACCATCACTTCTAGCATCCAACAGTAATATACATTTATTATACAGTAGGCCAGTGCTAGTCCTGTACGGCACTGTAGCATGGTTACTATGGTACAAGACTAAGAGAACATCGCTATCGTCTATCCTTGACTACAGCCAGCTCTCATATTGACTCAAGTCAATAATGTACTTTGTGTCCAAATGACATACTTAAGCCACTACACGATGCTATTTAGCTTGAGTATTTTCCGCAAGGCCACAGGCGAGTTGGCCAAGTACTAAATCATAACTTGCGTGCATCTACTCTTAATTACTTGCAACGCCGGCATGGCTGGAGTCCGTAGGAAGAAGACACAACGTAACAAACGCCCCAATTCAACGGCACCTGGACGTGTATTAAAACGGAAAGCAGCTAAAGTGACGATCAGCAAGTAAATAGCAATAGCTTTCACTTCTCCTAATTGCTAGTGAGATTGCTACTTGTATATGCACCTCTGCTACTCTACTGTTGAAGAAGCTGTAGTTAGGATTAAACCCATGCATAGCTAAACTCTGTACAGTATATTGCATGCAGTTCTCTCTTTGCTAGTTTATTTCGCATATACTTCAAGTTCTAGTACGACTTGAAGTCCAAACTTTTTTTAAAAATACATGCTGTCAAAGGATGAGCGTTCTTGCTCGATTTCAAAGTTAGTTTGCAGCACGTTGTTCGATTCAAGCCTGTACAGTATTCAAAACTACTATAGCACCACAATTGGAGCAAGCTTGTTATGGACGAGTATAGTATCTTGTAGTTACCTTTGCCAATTGAACTAAGTATCTCTTCTATATTGATTAGCAATACGATCAAGAAAAATTGGAATAAGAAGAAAACATTACGGGAAAATTTTTCAAGCATTGGATTAGCTATAAACTCCAACAAAGCAATTAAAATTCGAGTATGTATTTAGACACGATCATCGTAGATGCAATAGCGACGGCGATAATACAGTAATTGCATCGCGAAGAGATTGAAAAATTGTTCTTCAAATACAGTAATAGCATCACGAAGAGATTGAAAAAATTATTCTTCAATATCTCTTAGCACTATCTTTTAATTCTGGCTACGTAGTTTCATCTTGAGAGTGCACTTAGGTACAGTAAAACTCAATGATCCATGTTTTGATAGAAAAATATCTTGTACGATAGATGTCTTAGCACCACTGTACGTACCTTCGAATTCGTGCTAGTTTCACCTTTAAAATGCATCTATGTAAAACTTAATAACCCATGTTTTGATCGTAGAATACATAGTTCTTATATATACGAGAAAGCGTAAGCCTTCGCACTACCTTCCAATTCTTACTAGTAGTACCTTGAAAGTGCATCGATGTAAAACTTAATAACTCATGTTTGATCGAAAAATACGTAGTTCTTATGTACTGTATACGAGTATACGTATGCCTTCGCACTACCTTCCAATTCTTACTAGTAGTACCTTGAAAGTGCATCGATGTAAAACTTAATAACCCATCATTTGATCTAAAATACGTAATTCTTATGTATACGAGTACGTGTATGCCATCGCACTACCTTCCAATTCTTACTAGTAGTACCTTGAAAGTACATCGATGTAAAACTCAATGACTGATTTTTGATTGGAAAATAGTTCTTAAGTATATGCACTCTCTTTTAATTCTGAATGGTTGCACCTTTAAAGTACGTGTATGTAAAGTTCTATAACCCGTGCTTTATTTAAGGATGTAACAGAGCGAATGGAAGTAGATCAACCAGCTAATCCATCTAAGCCAACAACCAAAGTTGTTCAAGGTTAGATGCGCTGGGATTAATATATAATCTTGACTGAAATGATTGTAATTTTATATATATATATATATATATTATTACTACGAAAGCGTGGTAGGCATTTTCAGCTAGTCAACTCCTAAAGTAAGTTACTAATTTGAATATTTCAACTGCTGACATTAGAATTAGAAATGATTGCAAGCCAAGGAAGCCAAACGACAAGGAGACACATCGCACCTGGTGAAGTAAAATTCTTAAAGGACCTAATGGATAGCCATGGTGAAAATTATGAGGTCAGTCGAATAGAGCTGGTATATCATTTTTTGGTAGACGGTGCTAGAGGTCTGCAAGTTGTAGTTGATATTTTGAAACAAATAATTCTTAAATTTTGAAAGGCTATGGCTCGGGACAAGAGAAATTGCTATCAACAGACTGCTAAACAATTGGAAAGAAAGTGTAAAAATTTAATGAAAGCAGTATCTGATGGAATTATTAAAATGTAATTTCGCATCCCTAGGCTAGTGGTCTATTTTTGAAAATGATATTACTAAAGTAGCCGGTTGTAATATTGATTGGCTCGTTGCAATATCAATCACGATTTATGAATGAATTTTACAGTATATGCCTTATAAGACTTCTTCGTAGAAACGATCTGATAATGTAAATTGTTAGCCTTGATCTATCTCCATGAACGATTGATGAGGATATCATGCTGATAAATTGATTGCATCTTTACTGTCATGCGATATTAATGTAAGTAAAATCATGAATAAGATTCATTTCATGGAAATCTAGTCCAGACCTAAATCAACTAGAGCTGGCTGTACAATGCTTTAATTTCAAATTAAAATGAATAAAAACGAACGAGAAGATACTCGTATGTAAAAATAAATAACGGCTAGATAGAAAATTAGAAGTAAAACTTATTTGGACAGAATTAGTTCCAATGAGGTAATTACCAATTGGTTAACGACATTAGAAAATAGTGATTAAAAAACATCTTCCAGATATTAGTATAGATAGCATAATACTCGTCAAACTGCCAGCAAGATTAGGAGTACTACAGTATCTGTATCTAGCATGCCTTTAGAAACCTATCACTACAATCAATAAGCGCTCTACTTGCAGAAAATTAGAGCATAACAAAATAAACTGTCGAGGATGCTTGTGTCTATTGCGACTGGTTAATTAATTATAATTATTAACCTGTAAACAAAAATTTCCACAATATCATTATTCTAATTTTCCTTGGTCTCTTCTGATCTCCAATTCAGCATCACTACGTAGAAATAAGAACCAGATGTATGCAAATGGGATAGTTGCAGCATGCCATAATGAATGCGCATCGAAGGTCCACCAAAATGGTGGAAAATCGAACAATTCTAGCGCTGCTACTGCTGGGGTTCCAATAGCACATAAAAATCCTATCCATACATGGGGTCTAGATTTTGCCGTCTTTATAAACCAGGTACACCAACATAATGCTGTAAGAAAACCTACAGCAACATTGGCGCGCATGTTATAGCTGTAGCTAAATTGAATAAATGCCATGTAATAGATATGGCAACTATACAGCAACAGAACTATTCCACCATACAAACGAGCTAACCACTTATAGCCATAATTTGTCAAGATATAAAACATAAACAGGTAATGTCCAAAGGCAATGACAGCTCCAGCACTAAAGTAATCCATTCGTTCTGTCCAGAGTAAATCGCGTGTATGAAAAATAGTAGACCAAAGCCAAGCATTGACAGAAACCATCGTATAAGTTCGCACAACATGATACATTCTATAATTACTATGTACACTCTCTCGATATGCTTTCCAACCGAAATAGTTGGCCATTGCATTACCGATGGAAAATACAACCGATGCTGGCTCTTGGATCCCAAGGAAACGGACGAAAGGCCATTTACCATGCCATTGTGGTATAGGCTGATTATATTCAATTAATTCATCTACAACTTGATGCATCGATAGATATTTACAATTATCTAAACAATCCCAGCCAAAGATAGAAATGCTCCAAGGTATTGTTGCTTCGCGGCAATTGGCAACACACTGACTTAGCAGACTTTGATACCGCTCAAGACGATCCCCAACTGATCCACAAGCTGAATGAAATATGGCTATTACCAATAGGGCACAGTATAAGATGAGTTGATAACGTTCCATGTTAACTCCAATATTTTAATGCTATCAAGTTCATCGGTTTAATTATCGTCCTCTCCAACGTTTAGATGTTATGATTACTGTAATCCTTAATCAATAGCTTGGATTAACTTGTAATGTTGATTGCAAAATCACTTACATAGAAATGTGATGGTTCTAATAACTCTAGAATAGTACCTTCAAGCCTAGTTTGGAGATGCCAATGATGTAGACGTGTTTATTCAACTTTTTCTCATGGCAGTTCTAATCTTCTAGGAGACGATTCTAAATCCGTTGGCTTTACTAACTTGAAATGTCAATCATCCGTTCGCTTTACCTTAATTATTTAGAGTCATTGATACCAACCTTGAAGCTTAACTACTCGTAAATCTATCTAGAATCGTCGATCTCAAGCATTCATTACGTTATATAGCCATAAAGCTTCTCGATTTTAAATTACAAGATAGAATAGCAACCAACAGCTAAACAGTAAATCACTTGCTCTAACTGCCTACAAGCGTATGAAAACAGTGTAGTCAAGCTTTGCTTACGCAAGTGTATAGAGAGATTACCAATGTGCAGTACTGTATGATACACTAGAGGGCGTATTTATCTACACGGAGTATACTTTCAGTACAGTCATGGCAAATCATCGCTGTGCAAAGTTAGTTGTCACCCCCAAACTGTACATTGATATCAAATTAAGATATTTCACTATGGACTTCAATCCATAAATAGAAATATGATAGGTCATACGACATGATGCAATCAAGACAATAAACAAGGAGTGACGATAATTATGCACACTGTCCTTACACTAGCTTTCGAAAGGTGAAGACTTTCCCAATTTTGTTTCAAATCAGAACGTTTTTTATAATACGATAACAAATCGAGGATAAATGACTTTTAAGTGTATAGTTCAAGTCCCATTCATAGATTATCAGCATAGTAGCATATACTTAGGCCAAATATCGATGATAAAATGCCTTATTATTCAGGCAATTTATTTTATGCAAAAATTCTAATGGATAGTACAGTATATTAACAAACTTTGTAGCCCCAAATCTCAATTTATTCAGTCATTCCGTACTTTTAAAAGTCTATAATAATAATACGTGCATAGCTGAAAGGATAATCATGAAAGTTCTCGTATCGTTAATAATAATTATGATTCAGCAATATCTAATTCAAGGGTTATGCTCAATTAAATTATTAATTATATATATAGAATCCTACTAATGAATGATATTACACTACGGGTTATAGAAGTAAGCATATATGCATTAATGCGTTCGTAAAAATAGTTATTGAAGTATTAAAATAATTCCTGTGATATTGATTGGTGTATCCGCAGTTCAATGTTATAGCTAAATATTAGTATGTCGATTCTGTTTATTATTATTCATTTTTTTAAAGTGTCATAACGATGAATCGTTCAAGTTTGTATTATAAAATCAATTACAGCTTCTCAGTTAAGTAGATGTAAATATGATCTATATGAATTAATCACATCAACTAAAATTTTCATAGGCTGTCGGAATAGAAAATTATATCGCCAGTCACATTAGCGCAATGACGAATGCATAAATATTCCATTTAAAGATTTTAAGTCATTTCTCATTTTAAGATATCTAAAAAAATAGGCTAGATAGATTGGCTTTTCTAACCACATGTATCTAAAATAATCGAGTCTTTATATTATAATTAGAACTATCAGTATTTTATGAGGATATTTCATACTAGGTTGCTTGAAGATAGAAGGTAAAATTACTTGTACCACGTCACAATACGAACATATACGAATGAGACTGGAAAGCTAAAATCTTCATCGCATGATCAATAAATATAAAATCTATCACAACTATCTAGTTCTATTACATCTATAAATAGGCATCTCGTCTTCAATCTAGCTAATGAGACCGTTGGTATGGCAAGATAACTATTTTCAACGTTGCAAAAATATTTTCATGCTATTATCATAGCTGTGATATATCAAAAACATAACATTTAATGAAGTTGGGACGTTATAAAATCAATTTTCATTACAGTATCAACGATTGAATAAACGTTGACATCCATGGTTGGCCAATTAATTAGCATTTATGTTCAGTCTTTATTTTAACAAGGTAACGATATACTTTCGTTTTTAAGCCTTTTGAGCTAAAGTCTCAATACGATCGGGTACTTTCCCCAATAATGCTGTTTTCTTAACCGTAAAAGCTTCAGGATCATATAAACAATCAGACATACTATCGCGTCGAACAGGTTGAGCTAATTCATTTGTCCTCCTGGTACATACAGCTCTTAATGAACGCGAAAGAGGCTTCCATGGTTCAACTTTTTGTATTTGAAATCCTTCCGGCAATATTTTTGGTCGCGCTAGTTCTCGAATACGTGATGATGGATTCGCATGCTTTGTTGCCTTGCTGATTTCCCAAACTGGATCTCTACAGTTATCTTGACGATGGGTTTTAGGTTGAGATAATTGATCAACACTTAAAGGGATATTGCCAAAAAGGGCTGCCCTCGATACTTCTGTAATATTAGTTCTATCGGGCTCAAACCGTCGATTTAAAGTACTTGGTGTACTAAGTCTTATCAATTTCTCTTCTGTTAATGGCGACCTTGCACCCTCTCTCGTAAATGGTTGATACTTTCTAAATGTCAAAGAGGCAATAACAATGAATAATGAGCAAAAATATTTATTTTATTTTATGAATTCCTAACCACTACCGTACTTAATCATTGTGATAATAGACCTGGCAATACATTTTAGCGTTGCAGTTAATTAGAATTATAAAATATTAGTCGATCTCATCAACGATTAGAACTTGGATTGAACTAAATAAATCACGTAAAAGAGAGCCATAATAGTAAAAAACTATTTATATTTCCAGTTATAAATGTTCTGTAAGTAATTAATTACTAATGCTAGCATCTAATGCAAAAAATTATCCATGCAAAGAATCTTTGCATTGAAATTGTAATTAATTTAGGAAACAGCTAGCCTTTCTTAAAACTCTGATGTACTCGTATACCGTACTTTACGGTTATTTTTACCCTCAATTTACCAATCAACGGAGATGTTATAAAAACGCTGTTACTAGCTTTTATTTCGAGCTACAATAAAATGGCACTATTATCTGAAAATTTTCACGAGATTGTGATTGAAAAGTATCATGATCTTCAAGGCTGGCATCGACTAAAATTAACTTTAGAATCTAGCTATTCCAGAGAAACTCGTTCGATATGTAACCTGATCGATGTGTGCAGTACTACGCTTAAAATTAGGATAGGATACGTTAACTCCCTATTTAATAAAAATCGCATTTCTATGGCCCTTCTTTACAAAAGCAATCAAAATTACCGATTTACTTACTTATCAGCACCTTCAAGTACAAGTGGTTTCTTCGGTTCTGCAAGTTGTATAATCCGTGGAGTTGGGTCTTTGTAACGGAGATTCGATCTAAATGAGTTAATTAAGTCGAAATTTTGATTTTAAATCTGCAGCATCTGCTTTTACTAATGCTATGATCAATTCGCCTCAAATTATTTTTGTCCATATCTTATCAAACGTTAGAACAATAATTGTGATATTGGTATTAGTCACTATATAGTATTAAACAAGGCAAGTGGATATGCTTAGGTAACGACTTACGTAGCAGGTGCAGATTTTGAACGCTCCATGCTCATTAATAAGTGAGTCGCTTCGTCAACGTAGATAGGTTTTGGCTCTGATAATGCTAGAATTCGCTGACTTGGCTTAGCTCGTAGGGCGGCCGTACTAATGGGTACTAATGGTTCTTGGTTACCCCATGTAACTGGTCTCCTGTATTCCGGAATAAAAAGTAGAATTTAGAATCATGTCTAGGTAGATGCAAAGCGTTCAATTTTTTATGATAATATTCAAAGAATTCCATTGAGTAGTAAATATTAATATTAAAACGGCATTATTATCAGATAATTCTATAATCTTGCTAGAATACTAATTTAAATATAGTTGATATAGATAAATCAACTTACCAGGTATCCATTTCGAGATTTCAACCTTTTAATAATCTAAATTGTGTATAAGTAGACAGGCATGAACAATCTTACAAATATTCATCACCTTAACATATCCATCAAAACGATACATTTAAATGATTGCTACATTTCGCTTTCTTAGTAATTGTTTATTTTAATCTAAATCACGTCACGTATATCGTGTAAATTAAAGACTAAAGAATTAGTTTTAATGCAAAGGTATTACTGCTGATATTATGCCAGGAATGGTAGCGTGTTATAAAATGAATTTTAGCCTTTTTAATAACATTCTAAGCGTAAAGATAGACATATTATCAATCTTAATAGTTACACAAATCAATTTTTATGGCAGAGCTTTTGCATCAATGATTTCTCTAAACTGGTTACTATTGACGCAGGTAAGTATGCAATTAAATCTCTATCGAAAATTACGAATATGATCACCTAAAATGCACTGTACTTTCTCTATAAGACGTATCATATCTAATCTCTATAAGCAATGAAATAGCAGTATAATTATGCTAAATAGTTAAGAAAATCAAACTTACTTGCTACTTAAAACGAACAATCGTGATTTAAAGTCTCCTCGATTCAAGTTGATCGACGATATCAGTCACTCTAATTCCACGAGATGATTTCTTAGTCCTTTATGTTGTGATTACAATTCTTAAAAAACTGACATATTAAAGGTTTTTAATTAATCAGACATAACTCGTGATGCTTTGAGAGGTAACGGAGAAAAACCGACCTAGACCAAAGAAATAAAAATTTGAAATATAGATTATAATAGGGTGCTACCAAATAATTCGTACTGATTGCCTAATGGGCTGATTTCTATTTAGAAGTAAATCCTTTTTAACAGACTTACCAGAAGATAAGATTTCAAGATGATATCTTCAATTAAAATTAATTATTATAGCGCTGTTAATAATTATGTACGGCAAATTGCACGATTACTGGGAGAATAATAATTGTGGTAAAGTCACTTTCCAAGCCAAATGTATTTATCAAATCCTGTTTGGAAATGATAAACTGCAATTTGAGCAGGCCAAGAGCCAAGATGATCGATGCTTAATGTATCTCAGTAAGTGACTGCGTTACCATGGAGACGTAAAGGACGCTTGATATCAGCTACATACAGAATAAATAAATTGTAATAATATTCTCTAGTTATTCAGAACCAAACACAATCTATTGATTATTAATTTGCTTTGTCGATCAAATAGAATTAGCTATAATAGTTTTAATCATGTGACATAGATACTTTTAGTTGGTTTGGGCTAGGATATATTCTAATTATTTACGGAGAAAACACTTTAACATTGTATCCAAGTATTTAATGAAAGTTTTATGTTCCTGATCCCAAAATTGTGAAGTTTTATTAGGTGTCTTGCTTTATAGATCAGTCAGAGGTATCACATGATTACAAAGAAATGCGAAAATTTGTTGATTAATCGTCAATTTGTGGTTTATCAATACAATAAGCCTGAAACTATGAGATTTTTTATAGTAATAATATATGAAATGAATTGAATTTTAACGCACGAATCAGAATTAATAAGTATATCATAGTATTAGACTGACGTCAATTTATGAGTGAAATCCACATTCTAATCTATCGAATTAACTGTATCTATTGAGTTGATCGATGTGCATATCGCGAAATTCAAATCAACTAAGATACCAATGATTTTATCTGCACTTACTTATACCTAAATTTCATAATATACTTTAAATTAAAATAGAAGCAATATTATTCTCCAATTAGCATTTTATGGTGATTGTATCAAGCATACTTGAAAAGTAAAGATAAGATCATTAGCTAAATAAATGAGCTAATAATAAAATTAGGAAAGAAACACATGTCAAATTATAAAAAGGATTTCTGAGCTTAACTAGTACGCTTCCATTGATTTTAATAGCTATTATAATTATTGAAATGGTTATTCAGGTTGGCCGACTACGTAATTCATCTACACATGCAAACACTACTTGCATAATCAAATTAGTTTGATGCAAAATAAAGCTTCAATACTTGTTCTAGTATATACTGTACACTAATAGTGTAGCACAGACTCCTGATAATATACAATACGATAAAAATGTCATGCAGCTAATCATATTATCACTGATACTAGCTACTATATACCAACATTGCAATTGCATGTTGAAATGAAATAAATTTGTTCGGTACCAACTTGGCACTAGAAATCTTCTATAGCGTCTTGTAAAGGACCTCTACCGATACACGCCACCTAGATTGCTTACATTATTTAAAGTAATTTTTATTCGTTAATACTAGTATAAAATCATCTATCTATAACTAATTGTTTTGAATTTTTTATGGAATTAAGTCGTATCCGCACCATACTAGAGATCCTCTATAGCGCCTCTACAAAGACATGATGTAATATATTTGCAATATATTTAAAATAATTTCTATTCGTTAATACATGTCTAAGATGATACGCCTGTAACTAATTGTTCTTAATTATTTTATTGAATTCTACCATAAAATATCTGCTTCAGATCTAATTAAGAGTATTAATACGGTTTAAGATATAATAACCATGCTGGATAACTTATTCATAATATAAAATTCATAGAAGATAATAGCTTAAATTCTTTTCTGATATAACACCTATGGTATCTTATAAATTAATTTATGCATTCAGTCATCGTAGTAGCTAAAGTTACTAAAGAATATCAATCTACCCTTACTCTTACTGAATACTGCATACAAAATGCTTCATGGGGTAAGTAGGAATTAATTATTTTCAATGAATAGCAAATTGTAGTTAGTCAATTTTGATAAACCTATAAGTGGCCAACTGGATTCATTATAAGACATTACTAGAAGAGCTTTCTGGTTTCTTAGTTTACCATTATTTCATATTTTGTACTAATCACATAATGTTAATGAAATTAGACATAATTAGCAATAACATGAAGCAATCATGATATGAAACTGTCTGCACCTAAACCTAAATTTAAGATTTCGTAAGATAGATACCGTAGTTTGTTTGTTAAATTTATATCGTACATTTACTGATTATGTACGCATGCTAACGGTTTCAATTAAACAGTAATAAAATCGTTGAATGCATCAACGTTTACTGCTATAGTACGTTGACATTTTAGTAGCTAAATTTGTTTGAAAGATAAATTTTTTCGATTACTTTTACCTAATATAGTAACCTTACAAATCCAAATATTCTTGATAGACTATCTATGAATATATTAGCAAATTCTATAAAATACACTATATGGATGAACTTAGTTTATGCCTACAATAATAATCTACTGACGTGAGTGATTTATTCGAAATCAGTAACTAAACAACAAATTTAATAGTAACTTGTTGGAAATGTTAGAATAGATTTTATTCTCTCGCTCAGGATCTTAGTTACGTCGATATCAATCTGTTTCAACGTTGAACAAGAAATCAAAGTAGATACTTTGACTTTATCTTAAAATCAAAGCATTTTTGTAGAATATTAGTATTAACTATCAATTTTATTTTTAAACGTTTCAGTGCTATTAAAGTTCAGTTCTGCATGGATAGTACGAACTTTTTGATCTATTGATTAACATTACCTCTTTTAAAACTATGAACGTTAATTGATGACAGTACAAACATCTCGATAGATATGTATAACCTCTCTACATAAGTTTTGGAGTGATATATTACTAGAACGAAGTTTACGAGATGTAATATCAAATTATTCGAATTTATTTATTCAACTAAGACCTAGTTTAAGGATGTTAGTACTAAATCTTTGCTTTCTGCCGCAAAAGTAATTTCATTTCTTATATATCTTGTTACAGTTAAAATTTTTCACACATTAGGCATCCATAAAAATGAAACTAGATTAGTACGAAGCTCATAATTCCTCTTAAATAATTGCAAAGGAAATACGAGTCTCTCACGTATTTAATCTACGCTCTGAGTTTTGATATCTATCAAGCATAGCAGTTTTAATTACTAGTTTTTCTTAATATTTATCGTTTACGTGATCACATGTTTATTAAAGATGAAAGACGTCGAATCATACTCATATAATTACTCATTAGTTACAATTAATAGTAATAAATATAATTATTATGCTACTACTGGCATATTTTTAGTTCATATCAATTTTTGCAAGCAGGTCGCGCTTATATCGTTAACGAAGAATAGCAAAATGCAATTATAGAACAATAGACTTGCGAACAAACTATGATAGCTATGTTGAATACTACGTGTATCACACTATAGAAAATGATGTTACAATAAAGTTGCATCTGGTTAATGCAGCTAATTTGGTTTACAGTTAGTCACGAAATTTCCACAAGCATGATACGAATTTGTGATTCCAAAATCCTAAACCAGATGACGACTACCGTACTGCTGATCAGATCATAACCGTATAAAATTATAATACAGAGGTTGACTATATCTTCAACACCAAACTGCGAAACTAATGCCAATAATGTAAATCAGATATGATTCAATCTACATGTTAGTGGTGTATACATACATGAAAAAAATCGAAATCACTATCATCATGTCTATTAAGATGGAAGTATCAGTCTGTAAAAAAAGGAATGCTATTTATGAAGAGGGTATCATTAAAATTACTTTTCAGGTTTCCTTATTTTATAGCTAAATAAAATGTATAATAACAAAATCACTGGTATAGTAATTCTAATACTGTATTCTTAATGGTGTTGAATTCATCCACAGTGGCTTGCAATAGTGATGTTTGTACTATCTTGACAACATGATCTTTCATGCAAGATTCATTAGGCAAGATACTATTGATAGTGTCCTTGTCCAAGCTGCCTCCCGTTAGATCTTGTTTATTTAGTAACAGAACAAATTTCGTTTTTTCTAATTTTAAGCCATCGTTGTCAAATAATTTTTGTAATTCTAGGCGAACAGCTGGAAAGTTTGATGAATCTGAAGCATCAATTACAAATACCAGAACACCAGTGCCAGGTAAATATGTATACCAGTATTTTGACATACTCCCACCGACTAAAATAGAAAATATAAAGAGATATATCGATGCTTAAGATCAGAAATTTATAATCTTTTGTTCTAGTAAGAATCTACTTTAAGTCCATTTATTAATTATAATTATCGTTATAAACGATAGTATGATGAAGTTAAAATCAATTATAGAAAGTATCAATTGGGGCGCGTAGGTTAATATCATGATTTAAGTCAGTGCACATGTAAATAATTAATTCACCTAATGGAGCAGTATTTTTTTGTTTTTATTGTCATAGGAGAAGTGTAATAGAATATCATTTACTAACGGTTACATACGAATTTGAAGTAAGTAGTTTGAATTAATAATCCGATTCTAAAGAAACGTGATATGCATTGTGATCCAATAGTAAATAGATTACCATCTTCATTCTATTTTAAAAAAATTCTCCCTTTGTTGATACGGATCTGCGTGTTAAGTGTATTAATATTAATCGTGATGACATATAAAGGAAGGAATCTACTAGATTGAATGCCTAGTACTGTCTGGATTAAATCGATGTCTGAAAACAGTTCCACATTCTTTAGCAATAATATTTTATCTAATACTATTAGTGATAAGCGTATGGCTTAATGCATTCTTTCATTAATAGATAGAAGTCTTAATTTCATAAAAAAATTAATGCAATCGTATATATATTTAGTCAACGTGATATGGTTACCACGTAACTTACGTACTTTCCCAAATTTCGACAGTTTTACCATCCATGGACATATTTTTAATGTTGAAACCATTGGTTGGTTCATATTCGGTTTTTGCTTCATCATAAATGAATCTAGCAACCATGCTACTCTTACCACTAGCCGGTAAACCTAGCGCTAAAACTTTGTTGGAATTCCCTTTGCGGTATTCATCAAACTCCGCGGTAGCTTCCTCAATTTCCTCAGTTTCTTTCAATTCTTCTTCATGACTTGTTGTTGGCCGCTGATACCATTTATAAAGTACATAAGCTAAAGTAGCGCCACCAACGGCACATAAAGCCATTTTTTCCCCTTTACTAAGTGATTGAAATCGTTCCATTATTGCCGACATGATTCAACTTACTGCGATTTTAGCCTGTTTGATAGTGAGCTTTGGACAACAGCTCACTCTGATTAATTACCTCTCTTTCTTAACGGAGGACGGTTGGTTGTCGTTATGGCGACCAGGCGATCGTCCATCGGACGCACCCATTTTGAGTGGAGAGTGGATGCTACTAGTACCATTAATTGCTGGTATGTACTACCGTAAGTAGCATAAGTACCATGGTAGATCACTAATGGTATAGTCGGTGCCACTGTCGCATTTCTGCAGTACGCTGTCAGAAACGTAGAGGTAGAGTAGGAAAAAGATTGTTTTTGCCTTGATATACTCTCTTCCATACGGTGGGCCAAAATTATGGGCCACCGTTGTTCCAAGATCTTAGTTCATTTCTTTTAAACTTGGCAAATTTACTTAGACAAGTATAATATAGGGATAGAGCCGTTTCAGCGGCATTTTGGGATATGTCATCGGGTAATGATTCAGTATGACATCTTATACACTGCAGATACAGCAGCCCATTTGAAAATAAATCTGACGTAGTGTACACTAGAGACCCTTCGAGAGAGACATGACAATCTACTGTTAAAATACAGCCATGGACTACCAGAAAAAGACCTACATCGAGCCATGGACCGCTAACAGAAAACTTTTTTACTTTTACTTACCGTCATCTAGGCTTCAACATTTCTTGCCCCGATCCATCCTTCCAGTAGTCCACGACTGCTACCATTCTACAGTACTGTATGACTGTACAGTACAGTGTACAGTGTACAGTACAGTACAGTCAATTTTTGCTTCTTCTACTGTACTGGTACAGTACTGTAGAATACTGTACCGTACTGTACCAGTACTGTCGTGATTACCTGACCTCCTGCTAATCACTGCTAAAGCTAAAAGCTCCTCCATGGTAAACTTCATTTGAAATCAATAGAAGTCGACAAAAGAATGGCAACTAATGCCGATTTGAATATTGACCAACGTATTGAAAAGAGACAGCCCATAAATCCCCAATCGAGAAGGCGAAAAATACTAGCAAATGCAAGCAATCGATTAAATTTTATATTAGGGGGTGAAAAACCGTCGACTGCATGCGATCATATCACTCAACCTGCTGGTAAGAGTCATTCATCAGCTGACGTTGCATCCAAGGCAACTGATTTATTACAGCAAGATAAATTGAATCAAAGCCAAAATGAAATTCCAAATTTAACTCAAGATAATAATGGTACTGGCAATGTTAGCCATGATACAGTTACTAAAGAATCACCGAGTTCTATTCATGATCAATGGCTAGAGATGAAGAGAAAATCATCAGCATCTTTTGCTTTGCCTTGGACTGGCTTGATTCATGTCTGTCTGATAGTGGGTACTGCATGCCTCGTCGCATTGGTCAAGTTGCATTATTTTGATAATTTCTTACAACACTATTTAGATAAGGTAAGAATACAACTTGATAGCTTCATCATCATGCCATCTTTATTGCACGATGATAGTAGGATGCATTGCATCAGCCGCAATATCTGATTGATCATTGCGTTAACTACATCCAATTAGATCGAGGTACAGCATTCTAGACAGTAAATTACTCCTTGATTATAAAGGCCGTAATAATGCAGTCCGAGTATACCTGAAGGGTATCAATCCTACCAGGTTGGATCGATTAGATATTAATGCAATAGATATCTACCTCAATAATTCTCCATTTCTTAGAGTCACTGATGTTCGTATTTCAATGCTAAATTTGATTCCAATATTATCTTTCTTAAGTTTTATATTCCTCGAAAAATTGTGTGAGTTCTGCTTGTTACTACCAGCTGTGGTGTGTGGTCATTTCTGACAACATCTAGCTCTGATATCGTATCATAAAATAGTCTCTATTGATGTAGTTGATTAGCTGTAGTAAAAGCAAAATATTATTCTATTCCTCTTCTTTTACTGAAACTGCTTACAAGTTCATCCCCAAAATCAAGTCCATGACTACCCACCAAGTTTAGCTTAAAGTATTGACATTTGTAGAGGAAAATTGCTATTCTACAAAATGTCCACTACTGTAAACTGAAATATTGTGGTCATTTGCTCGATTTTTCAGATACCTTAATTTAAATAACCTTATTTCCAAGTTATTAAAATATACAGCATTCAAAAGTTGAGAGGACTCGTTCAATATTTTTCACCTCAAATAAGATATCGGTGTAAGCTTAAATTAATACCTACAGTATGTCTTATTTCAAAACTTGATTATTCAAAGTATAAGCTGTATGTATAGATTATGAACTTTAATTTGAAATAAGACAGTCTTTTCTAATCTACGTGCCTATCCTGGATTTTGAACGGCTAAACAAGATACTATTTGAGTATCATTTTGCTCCATTTTAGAATATATCTTCGGGGTGTTGTTTGTAACTTGATATATGCGCGTATACAGTACATCTGCATACCTGTGATCAAAGGAATTTTTTTTATCACTGGTTTACCGTCTAGCATTTCACTATTTGTACATTTCTAGTCTTAGAAAATTTTCAGCTGCACTTATTATAGTTGTATAAACGATGCTATTGTCTATTAGTTACAGAAGATAAAGATGACATTACATCATTTGTAAATAGTTAGTATCAACTAGGTGACTAAAACATACAGATTATGCGTACAGGTGCAGCTGTTTTTTTGTAATTAACGTTCGAGATAAGTTGATGTTTATCGTTCGATTAATGAGCTATTGAGTTAAGTGGTTGCTCCAGAAGGATATCTTTTCTATTCTGGGAAAAAACGTTGTTGCTATTTTTATCGTATTTTGTTTATCTTTGAAGATAGTTTGCCTATTAATAGCTAATAACACCAGATTCAATGCTTTTTACTATAGCCTATCATTCTTCCCTTTCTTGTGCTAACGTTTCTACTGGTACTAATGGATTATGTTGCATCGGTAAGATTAATATATGTGCAAATATGTGTAGCTATCAATTCTACTGAACTTAGTTATATTACAATTCGTGTACGATGTATCTGGTGTAGTTGTCTTAATATTAGAATTTTCGTGATATAGCCTAAATTTGTGGTAATTGATCTTCTTTGTTTGAATTTTAACTTATAATAGAAAGGTGAACAGTCTACCTGGCAATTGGTAGCGAAATACTGTCTGAAACTATTTAAATATTATTCACTATATCTATTTGTATTTGTTATAGTTTGTTCATTACATCAAGGTAATTACAACAAAAGATAGTTGAGAATTCATCACTCTCTGAAGACGTAACCTTTCTACAATGATTCAATATTTACAGACTGATCTAATATCATTTGTGCGATGTAACCCGTAGAGGCCTACATGATCTATTCATTTAATTTAAAAATTATCTTTATGCGCTATAAAAGACGAATAGACCAGATATAGAAGGCGCTCCAAGTAGTAAAGTAATAGCAACTAATGGAAGACCTTTATAAATGGTATGACGTTGTTACTGTTTCTATTTTGTTTCCGTTTGTAATACAAATTAACACCGGCTATTTTAATGTTTGGACCACTTATGAAGTGTTCGTTCAACGTCAGTTGTATACCGGTTTACGAGTAGATGATCGCCGTCTAATGGATTATATACTTTATTCCGAACGAATTATTGAAGATAGAATAGATCGCATTCATATCTATTTTAGCGAACGCGATATAAGTTGATACATACGAGTGCATGTGTAAGGGTATGATTAATTCTCTTAATACTGCACTAAACTTTATATCCCGTCACTAACGTATGTCATTTAACAACAAAACAAGATTTGAAGGCCTTTCTATTTCTTGACCAGATGATAATAAAAATTTTATCCACTACGTTTGTAGTTGAATTTATTAAACCATATTCCAGCACGACTGTAAAGATTCCTGTTACAAAAGCCTGCCATGCTTTGGCATCCCTTTGATGGGAAAGTATTCTCCTCTCCTCAAGTCGTGATGAGGTTGGAAGGTTAAAATTATTGTTGTATGGAAATCATCGATTGGCTTGCATGCTGTTGCAAAAGTACGTTCGCATTTGTTGCGAGCACTATTTATATAATTAGGTATATACGGTAGTAGAATCACGAGCATTTTTAAGTTGATTTCATCCCTTCACTTGGAATTGATATGAACTCTTCTTTCGTCTTCAAAGAGCGTCCAAAATGAGCTGGAAAGCTACCCCTTTAACGCTTGGTTGAGCGACCACGAAAGCTGAATGAAAAGGCGTAGTACAGCACTGTGTGTATCGTTAGGCACTATGGTGTCCAATTTTTGTTAACAACTTGATATGAGAAGCTGTTTCTTCTCTTAAAATCAAAGTAAATAGCAAACACTGGATGTTTACTGAAGTGAAAGCTCTACAAATGGGATAATCCAGTCAAAAAGTAATAAAAAGTGACCTACAGGAAGTAAATTACTTATTGTTTTTGTCAGACGTAGCACGTGCCATATGCGTAACGAAACGGAGCTGGCACGTCTCACTCATGAGCGAGTGATGATGCTACTCATCACGCGAGTATGAACTCAGAAGGATCTGAACTGGGAAGTAAAATTTTCAAGTTTTTATACGGCGGTGTAAATTACTTCAAGTATGGGGCAAATTTTGGATTGCATTCGTTCGGCCTGATTGTCCGTACAGTGTACAGTCAGGTCAGTACAGTACACACTGTAGCACAGCAATGTAGTGATTTACTGTACTGTATTTCCGAAAGATGTCGCCAGTCAAAGCTGCGATTAGTACAATAATACTATACAATATACAGTACCCCCTTTTCCAAGCGGCTACTCAAGTCAAAATGTTGTCCTTTTTCCACCGTCTCCACTCCTAAAGGTACTGTAGGAACGGAGTAGAAAGTATCAGCCTCGTCATTGTCTCTACAGTACTGTAGAACCGTTCGTAGTGGCTGGTAAGAGAGAGAGTAAAGGAGACGCTGGATAAGTGGTCAATATTGTTGCTCGAGTAGCCTTTGCTTTTACAAGCCTTTGTGGTGACATCTATTTTACACCAGCAAAGAGTTTGCCCCCCCCCCCCCCCCCTATCGGATGCTGACAGCACTGACCCGAACTGACGCATCATCTGCGGCAGATCGTCATACCATGTGGACTGCGCAGTACAGCTACTAATCTGCCACTGGATTACGCACTGATCATAGTAGCGCAAAACTTAGCTAAACGATACAGCTTTAATATACGGTACAGCAAGATCTTCTCCGCTTGGCAGACTGCAAGAATTGAGCCGAATAAAACCCTGGCCTATCGTCGATGACAATCGTCTTCAAGGGCGGGTGTCAGGTCGAGGCGGGTCACGTCATTAGGAGGTCAACCAGCGTCACCTTGATCACTTTCATCCAAGCAAATCATTGAGAATTTTCCATTTCACAGAGCAAAATGGCCGATGCTAAAAAGCCAAAATTAGGCGATAATGATGCTACTTTATTCGACCAGCTCTTTCCACAACTCGTCACCGAATTAACTGAAGATGGTCTAGCTAATGATCAAACTGTCGATGCAATTCAATGGATGAAAAAGGTACTGTAGTCTTGTCTTACCATAAGTTGCTTTGAATGGATTTTTCCGCTAAGATAGCAAGGATAGTTGACTGAGAGAAATTGGAAGATATAGAGCAATGTAGGATAATGGATTTGACTAAGGACTTTCTATACAGCCCATGGAGCTCTATCGAGTACGAATAGATAGGATATTTATATATAAGAAATGGTTCAAGGAAAGAGAATCAAGTTACAAGTGCTCGCACATTGGCAATGACAAGTGGAAAAACAAGCTACACTAGAGTAAAAATTCTCATCAAACATTGTCTATGCACATAGTCTCTAACACTTGCAAACGACGGATATACTCGTATATAGTATTCGTATACAGTAATACTAAACAATGATTTAGTATAACTTGGCTGCTGAGCAGCCTGAGCATTTTCTCCAATCTAGGCAATGTATGTAGACGATAATAAGCACAAGTATACAGTACTTGTATAAAGTACTTTTCAACAAGCACTTGTATGCAATAGTAACCTAGCACGACATTGCTTCTTTCGCACTAAGTCTGATCTTAGCAATGGATCAGCAGTTTATCTCACAACATTAAAATATTATTATATCCGTTAAAGCAATCTTGTAGGCGATATTACTCTGAGTATACAATTTTGCTTGCAATCGTTGTACACAAATGACGATATACTACAGTAGGACTTTGTTGCCTACAACCTTGCTCATATCTTAGCAACTTCTCTCATGCTGTCTATTTTTACTATTGTAATAGAAAATAGAGGATTATGATACTTTCTATTACTAATATTTATCTATTATATTGATATTTTAACTTAATTTTGTCTTACCCTGGGATCGATGACAGTCGCTAGAGTGCAATGTCCCTGGAGGTAAGCCAGTTTTACAACATTATTAATACATGAACCAATCCAAATGTCATCAAAGTCTATTACTATATAGTAATGTAACATCTCCATTGACCTCTATGACTCTCGGTAAATGGTAAAGTCAACTAAATAAGTCCACATACAGTATATCGTATTGCTCGGATAGATAGTATCAGTACTATGCCTTTCAAAATAGGTTATCAATGATTACGTACTGTGTAATGATAGACACGTTTTTAAATTGAGTAAACATCGAGTGGTTTATATAATCGATTGTCATAATTTGGTAGTTTTATATAATCTATCGTTTATTTACAATTCAATCAATCAATGTGAACTATCTTGGCGATAGCTTTATTCCATCGTAGAGTTTTAAAGATTGTACTTTAGTAATATAGCTATGATAATCAAGTAAGTAGTGTATAATTCTGTCGGCTTCATGGCTTGTCCTGACTATTATCTTAGGCAAACGCAATCGTGGACTATCAGTTATTGCTACGGCAAGGTTACTAGTTGCTCCGCAAGAACTATCCGATGAAGATATTAAGGGAGCCTTAATACTAGGATGGTGTGTGGAATTCGTAAGTACAATAACACTGAAAATGCAACAGCTATTAATTAATGATCTGCAATACCTCTCTAGTCGTATTTGCATTCAGCATTGAAGTATAAACTTTATTTCATTCTCCAAAGTCTTGGCTATCAATAAGTACAGTATTTATAGTCATCTTTTAAAGAAGCTTTAAGAATCACATATCCCTTTTCATTGACAGTTACAAGCATTTTTTCTTGTTGCTGACGATATTATGGATGATTCAGTTACACGTCGTGGTCAGCCATGCTGGTTTAGGAATGTAAGAGTTGGAAATATAGGATTCCTATATCATTCTAGTAATATTTTATTTATAACTCTCCGTACTTATAATCGGAAAGTAATTATTTATTAAATTTTCTCTCTAGCCTGAAATTGGTACAATTGCTATCAACGATTCCTTCATGATCGAATCATGTATCTATAAGTTACTCAAGAAATACTTTCGTAGTCAACCTTATTATGCGGATCTTCTGGATTTAATGCATGAAGTTAGTTTCTACGTAGTAGATAAAATGAAGCTTAAAAAATTTACTCTACCGAACCTAACTATTATACCTTTCCTTCATCAGACAACCTACGATACAGAAGTTGGACAGACTCTTGATTTAATTACAGCACCCAGCTATGTAGATTTTTCTAGATTTTCAATCGAAAGGTATAGCTGCTTAAAAGTCATTTACGATTAATTGATTGCATCAAGTATCATGAAACCACGTAGTCATTCTTATTGCAATACTACAGTACAATTGAGAATTTGATCTATACAGTTACTATACCTTTGAGCCTTGATTTATTACTGATGCTTCTCTCATACATTCTTTTTATAATTAATGAGTAACTAAATAACTTATGTAAATTTTAACGCATTTTTAACCCAAAATATATATCTTTTTACCCTGACCGCATTACAATCAATATTGCATTCAAAAATTAAATCATTTATTACTGCTGGCTGGCTGGCTGGCTGGCAGTAATATGTAATACAACAATTAATTGATTTATACCAGTATAAGTAATTAATTTTTTCATTTAACCTATTTTCAGGTATAGGGCAATTGTAAAGTATAAAACTGCAATTTATTCCTTTTATTTACCTGTTGCATTAGCTATGACCATGGTAAGCTCACAACAATAGTTCTTTCGGCCAACTTTTTTCTGCATTATTAGTAATCATGCCATAAAATTTATTGAATACATCACTCTAGACAAAGAACAATAGCGAAGTCGATTATCAAGATGCTCGTCAAGTTCTAATGCAGATGGGAGAATATTTCCAAATTCAGGTTTGCTTTTGTTATAGCTTCTGCTTAGTATTATTTTCGTAGCCTGGTGTATATCTTGAATGACATCAACATTTCGCCGATTGTTGCATGCATTAAATAAAGTCCAATATAATATCTATCAATTTTACAGGACGACTTTCTTGACTGCTTTGGAGATCCGAAAATAACCGGTAAAATTGGTACTGATATTGAAGACAATAAATGTTCTTGGTTGGTTGTACAAGCACTGTCCATTGCATCAGAAGAACAGAAAAAAGTCTTACAGGTTGTCATCTTTGTAACTCAAATTGAAGTAAAAATCAAACACTCTTGTTCCTTACAAAGCATCCGTTTTTTCACGGTATAACCCTTCAATTTTTTTTAAATTAATAGGATAATTATGCAAAAAATGATCAAGTAGCAGTGCAAAAAGTCAAAGACCTATATAATGAGCTAAATCTCAAGCAGAGGTATAATGATTATGAAGAGCAGAGTTATACAACTCTATCTGAAGGCATAAACAAAATTGCCAATCAGGATTTAGCTAAAGCACTTCATGTATTTGCCAAGCGCATTTATAAGCGCAAGGCATAGTACTAGTGTCTATTCTATTACTCTTGCATGTTTTGGCTTAAAATATGTGATTTGTTGCACCAAATCATTGGATGACTCAGAATACCGTTCAATTCTAGCGACGATAATACGTACTACACGATAGCATTAGTTTTAGTTTTCATTGCAGTTACCTGGTTAAAGCAAGAAGAGTTCAATTATATTTATCAATAAACATCAAAGAATCATGTATCAATCATACTGCACTACTAAATATCGGATGCATTTATTAATTTAAGGTAATAAATCGATGTGTCTTACTTACTTGTAGCCCAAGACTTTGAGCTATAAATATCATGCTATGAGAAGTACTGTGACAACTTTAAAACTTATTAGCTTTATGAGAAGTAGTTGTAATGTATGGTAGCGAGCGGATGGCTGCAAAATTGTATCAATTACTCAGAAAGTACCAAACGATCATCAAAATTACTTTTTTCCCTTTATTGAGTTAGTAAAATGATCATCATATCAGTGTTTCAAAAAGATTCGTCGATTGATTGAAAAAATTACGAAAATACTAGTATATTGCTTAAATTATACTAAAGCTTGTTTTATTCACTATTTTAAATAGCTCATATTTTCTATGAGTCGGCTAAGCTATGCTGCTGCACACAATCCATGTAAATTTACTTAATAAGAATTATAGTGATGGAAAATGACATTAAATCAGCGCACCAAAGCCCAAAATAATGTAAAATGTCAGCAATACTTATAACTACTAGTCAACAGATATTGATCCAGTTAACTATTAGCCTTAATATAGAAGTAGATTGCGTATTACTGAATTTTTATACTATACATATGAATAATTCTTAATTATAATACAAGATTTAATGCGCCTGGAAGAGTAACAGGATATTGGATCTGTGTAACTAATTAACAACAGTAAATTTCGCCTTTTCAAGCGGAGAAGTCATATACAGTATAATGTAGGAATATTTCCCGATATCCATTAATGATCTATTTGAACCAATGCTGGGAAAGTTTTCATGCGCAGCCTCTCCACTTCAGCCCTTAAGACAGCAACTTCTTGAGCTTGAATTTTAGCAACATCGACTAATTTGCGCCTAGTTGTGATTTCTTTCCTGCGTTTCTCACGTGTGATTTCAATATCACCTCCAGCTAATTTTAATCAAATATAAAATTTTATTGTCAACATTATACTGTTTATTTCCTAAAATTGCTAATTCGTAATAAAGAATAATTTACTTACCATTAACATCGAAGATTGATTTCTTCTCTGTCAAGGAAAGCGATAATTCGTCTAGTTGATTAGTGACCGAATCATTTTCGGAACGCTTGGCTTTGACTAATTTTTGTAAGCGAGTAAACATTCGTTTACGCTCTTTTATTGTTTGCTCATGAGCCTATTCGTGGCATTTAAAAAAAATTCAGATAGTTAAACCCTTCAATCATGCTTTAAATGTTACACCAACGCAACTCGCAATATATGTGGAGGTCATTTAACCTAAGATAGATAGTGTTATCCCTATTACCCTAGTAAAATTTCCAATTCACAACTTACATGATGATATTTTGCTATAGTATTTTCCAGCATCTGGATCTCATGCTGATGAATTTGCTGATAATCCTCGTCACCAAGATACTAAATAGATATAGTGGAATATTTAATGCCTTTAGTTAACAATTCTATTTTATTAAAAGTCATTTTATATTTATTACTTGTTGCAACTCCTTTGTAACACGCAAAAGTTGAATATCCTTGGTTTTAGTATGCAAATCTTCAATTTGCATTTTCATCTGTTTATGTTCCCTAAAATTTTAAATGAAAGTGCATTCAGCTAATGTTTATCAACTAGCCATTAATACCAGTAACATTGATTGCAAACGTACCACTCCAACGAATGGATATTCTTTCTAAAGTTCTTACAGTCATTCATAATGCTAACCTTAGCCTCACCTAAGAGCTATTTTAACGTAAAATTCGAAATTGTTATATAAGACTTTAATTTATAAGTATGCAAAGAGCTAAGAAGTTACATTAATATAATAAAAAACTTTTCTGTAAATTTAAGCTTACACGAATAGTTGCATTTAAATCTTCAATTACAGATCGATGAATCAAGATACTATCAGAATAATCAGGGACAAAATCATCGCTATAAACTTCAACCTAAATCATGTGAAGATATTCAAAGATATTTAATAAATAATCTGTTTATAAAAAAAATGGTATCACTACTAAGTAATAAAGTAAGTCAAAATGAGCTACCTGGCCTTGCTTTAATAAGAACTGAATTGAAATATTGATCATGAACTTTACTTTCTCATCTTTAATTCTGTGAAAATTTTAGAAAATGATTTACTTTCAATGTATTGCAATATATAACCATACAAACGACTTTTTAATTCCTGACATCACATAAAAGTTTAAATGAAATAGTTCATGTTTATATTTCATGATAGCAATAAAGTCCCTGTAATACGGTAAATCTATCAGGATATTTCTACAGATTACGATGTTTCAATTAGTGACCTATGCAGTATACGGTACCTCTTTAGGCTTCTAAGGATACTTTCAATCTCTTCTCTCAAGTCATCATCTTCTTTAACACGCTTCTTCAAAAATTCTTCCATTTCGGCTAACGTCAAAGCTTTACTCTTAACCTATTGCCGCCATCAATATATGCATTAGCATCAGACAGCTAACCAATAGTTTTTAGCACACTTATCAGAGTCTTCAGTTATAGTAGATTACCTCTTGCTCTATCTCAATTTTATTCCTACGATATTCGGTTAAACGCTCCCATATCAGAACATCTAACCCTTGTGGCATATGAGTTATGTCATCATAATCATCCAATGCTTTATAAAAGCCCGAAGAATATGCAAATCCTCCACCCTGTGAGCCTGGTGGATGAGCATATGGATTTTTTGTACTAGGCGACATAACAACTGGAGGATCATTGCACACCCTGACTAAATTCTTTTGCCCCCTGATTTAAAAATGCATATAAATTAGAATATCATCTTTAAGATTACAATATTTCTAAATATATTAACTTACCTAGGTCGACGACGGAATAATTTATGCAATGTATCCAAGTAGGGTTCAGTATCAGCAAATTCTTTACGAAATCCTTTATCCATGTTCTAAATAATATGGTAAGATTATATGATTACTAATAGAAGAGTAGTTAAAGCAGCTAATTCTCAATATTGAAATATATAAATTAAAATTAAGTAGCCCTTTGAGACGCCACAATTCTTTTCTATATACCTTGTCATCGTTAACATATTTATCATATTCTTCATGGAATAAATCAACTTCGTGTTTAACATCAGTCAGCATGGCATGAGTTTGATTCTAAAGAATAAATTCGTATGGAAAACATTATATATATTCATCAAAAAAATAATGAAAAGCGATGATAAACACCAACCATATCATATTTATATGAGCAGTGTTCTTTGGATTATGATTTACCTTCAGTTGTTTCTTGTATTCCAGCAATTTACTTAATTCAGACTCTTTCCTTTCCATAGAATCTTCCTCTAATAGCGACGAATATAACCGCAAACATTTCAATTCTTCCTATAAATTTCATTTTTTAAAATATTCAGAGGAAAAGATTTTATTAATTGTACTAAGAACTACAGTATAAATCAACAAATTACGAAATGCAATGCATTAACTTCTCGAAAAAATTTTCTTTATAAAATTCAGAAAATCTTTAGCTATACCTGACATATGACCATATCCGTATTTACTTTCTTTTCAAATAGTTGAGCAATTCGATCATCGAATGCTTCACAAATGGAAGTCACATTAGTTTGTAATTTCTTTAATTCAGTTTCCAAAGCCTAATTTAAATAGTTAACGTGTATACCTTTGTGATTAAGTCATTACAATTATATGTTCATACAATAGAAAAAGAAAAGCATTGATTTGGTAACCGAAAGAGATACCCTAACTAAAGCTAGACAAGGAGTTTTAGAAGAATTTATCCATAGGCTGAGTGGTTAGCTTAATTAAATTTAAGTGCTAACCTTTTTATATTTCTCTCTTTCTTCTACAATAGATTTCTCTTTTTTTTCAATCTCTTTGGCCATTCGAGCCTCCTCATCAGTCATTTGTTCTGGTGGTTTTTTCAAGAAATCTGGTCGAACAAATTCCTAATCAAAATGTAAAAATCGATTTAGAACTATCAAATTAATATTATCAATGCACTTCGCAATGACAGCTAAAATAATTAGTATTGTAGTTCATTGTAACTTTGACTGATCAAAAATCAAATTGAAATTAAGTCCTGAAATAAATTTTATAAAATATTCAATCGTTATTACGATTTATATAATAACCTTGAAAAGGTCCTCCTCTGGGTTAGCTTCCAATCTTCCACCCATCATCTGTTGCAAAGCTCGATCTCTAGGATTTTGCCCTTCCTCAGTAGCTTTTCTTGCTTCTTCTTCGCGTTTGATTCGATCTCTTATTTCTACTTCTTCTGGCGGTAAATACTTTTCGCCTTTAATCTAAGCAACCAACAGAATAAATATAGATAAGACTTTACCGCATTAGTATTTTTCAGGATAAATAAAATTTTAAAAAATTACATATCTAAGATTTATACAGCTACTGAAATTCACCTCGTGATCGTAAACTTTTAGTAACTCCTCAGGTTTTTCATCAATATGCATTTCTGGTTGAAAGATTTCTTCGTTCAATTTTAAATCTGATACTATTTTACTCATTCGCACGTTCTTCTCCTGTATCTTTTTGATTTCACTTGCTTTCGATTTCATTACTTCTTCGAAGTCTTCATTAAATTTGGCTTTAATATAATAGATGCTATCCTGCATAGTCGAATCCAATTGTAAAATTATGCAATGATTTCAGCATTAGCTTGTACAAGGCACTGAAACTTACATAAGATTGTAAAATTATCATAAAATTTTAATAAAATAGATGGTATCCTGCGTAGTAGTATTCAATAGTATAATTATGTAATGATATCAGCATTAACTTGTACTATAATATAAGATCATCGTAAAACTTCAAAACGATCGGTGGCATCTTATAATTCATAAAGTCCATAGCAAAACTATGCAATGAATTTTAAAATAGCTTATACAAGAAACTGAAATTTATGTATCACTATATTGTAAAATCATCATAAAACTATTACGATAAGATTCGACTACAAAATAAAGATGATTGCTAATTCTGTATTATACTGCTTCATTTTTTTTTGTAATATTCTACGCAACACCATTCAAATCGAAGAAATTGTGACTGGTTATCCCTTGAGAAATAGTATCAGGCAAAGCTACCGAATAGATATTTACGGTGAAATGTCTTTAATCCTAATTTATTAGATATTAATGTGCTATTTGATCTTAATAAGTGTAAACATCTAAGAAATCATAATTATGACTTTTACTAATCATTAACTATTTATTAGAATTATTATAATAAGGATGTAATCTTGCAGAAAAGAAAGTAGTGTTACTTGCCTTCGTGTCATAACTACATCACAAATTTTACAGATAAATGACATATATGCCACTAAACCATCACTGCGATGAATACTGCACTGATTATTCGCTTTAATGCGGCATCTGACCCACCTTTATCAAAGTTATTTGATCGCGTTTTTCTTGCACCATATGCAATTGAAATTGAGAATATAAAAGTGGATTTCCTCCACCATAAGCAATTGCCCGACTGCCATGCAATGCAACGGAATCACCTTCATGCTGTAAATCATCCTTATTGTTTTCATTAACTTCTTCCTCATCTGCTTTTTCAGCCGCCTATATTATGATTCCATATGATTTCAATTAAGATATCCAGTAAAATTCACAAATAGCTATATTGTGCTTACCTCTGCAGTTAAGCTATTACTTGAATAGCCAATAATTTCTTTTTGCAGCTGCAAGAAAAATAAATGAAATTGTACCAGAATATTACAGCAATGCAACTGCTGGAAGTAATGAAATCGAGCTACAAGACTGTAATAATTTGCCTTCAAAAAAAGTGTAAATTACCGATGCTTCAGCAATTTCTATTTTACGTTGTAAATTAACAAAAGCAATTTCGGCTAATTCAGTTTCCGTTCTTTTCCTCATTGGATAATTGCTTACCACCACATTGGATTTAAATGCCTATTATTATGTATCATGATATTATTATCCCTTTATAAGTTCATTTTCAATTTCAGTAAATCTAAATTTCATATCTTTTATAGAAATTTGCTATATTAAGTTATAATACTAACATGTATTGCTTTCCCATGTATTTCCATTTGATCCCAGCACTCGCTTTTAATTAATTGCTGGTGATACTTTTTGGCTACATTCTTTAATCTAATATCTTGTCTTACCTACGGAATTATCCGTAATTTGCGAAATTAGCAGTTATAATTTATAGCGTATAAACAGAAAACTGATGGCGGTCTTAGTTGATGCAAGAACAAGTCTTGGACGCTATCATGCTTCATTACCATTTCAACTTCTTTATCCGACTCTTCAATAAGTCTTTGCCTTTCCTCAACATCCAATGTAAATTCATAATTTTGTAATCGATCAATCTCGGGCATGTTTTCATTATTAATGATTAGCTCTTTCACCTATCATATGCAGCATAAATTACTTATTTCAATTCTTAAACTTTCAAATATCTATTCTGATATATAAAGAATGGCAACATTTTTAGATGTTACTTGCTAGAAAAACGGTATCAAGAACTAATTCTATATGTTTTATACACGCAGTACCATACTGTACAATATGATGAACGCAGACTACTGTCAAAGAGTCGTAACGAAGAATATGATAAGTAAACCTCTATCAGGCGAAGACTTCTTACCTTTCTTTTCAAATCTCGTATTGCAACACGAATTGCTCGTTTTTCGTCACTATATTTTTTATCATCCGATCGTTGAGTCTAAAACAGAATCCATCAAAAGTATATTCCATCTTCAATTGGGCTATAATAGAATCTTTTGCTAATAACTATGGAGATTACTTGCAGAATGAAATTAAGATTATAAATATTTTTACCTCCATAATTAATCTTTCCAGCCAACTATGATCTGATGTTGGTACTGGAGTTGGTGTACAATAAATCGTATCTGCACTACTTTGCCGACCCATTTCACTACGACTTCGATAATCTGGCGAATCACTCTCACTTGCACTAACTGGACCCCACCACTCTTCCATTTTTAAAATAATTTGATTTTGCTGCAGACGTTCTAACTCCAGCGATTCTACAGTCCCTACGCCTTTCTTGGAATTCCCATAGCTGTATAGAATAAGATCATAATTATCATTTAATGTATAAATATTTTTGTAAGTTTAGATCAGTGACAAATATTAGCATAAAATTATTACACCAATCAACGTCTCCTTACTTTAATAACCATGAACATAAACTATCGGAATCGCCAATCGTAATGATATGTTGGCAATCATCCGTAATAATAGCAGCAGCTACTCCACCACGGTGGTAATCATGGCAATAATAGCAACCAACTTTTTCCTTAGAAGCCCAGATAGAAATTAAGATGAATTTAGCTTGATTTTACAAATTTAATACAACCTACGTTGTGCCAACTAATCTAAGGGTATGTTAATTTTAAAAGTAGTCTTTTCAATCACTCCTCTCTTTCTAACTAAATTTCGAGTCAGTCTACATTATCTATAAATCTAGAATAATCGATCGTTTAAATTCTCCACTTACCATGGAAGGCAATGACCAAACTGCAACACATCCATCCTGAGACCAGGTTATTAATAAATCGCCGTTTCGAGAAATGAAAACACCACCACCAGGCAATTGATGACACGAAAATGTTCGATTGATTTTCCAGCTAGATCTGACCTAAATAATTATAAGTTAAAATTACTTCATGAAGATATCCAGACGCAGAATACAGGATAATAACTTACTTTTTGACCATCTCCTCGTTGTACATCAATTTCTTTTAATTCTTTGGAGTTACCATCAAATGCTACAAGCGTATTAGCAGCGGTAAACTGCAATCCTTTCATTGCACTTGTCAATTTGAAATCTACTCGATTAACTGCAGTATCTTTAATTTGACCACTTTTAGTCGCAAAGACATCTTGATTATGATCTAAACCTAATCAGTAAAAAATTTCCAAATTTATTATCAAACACATCAGATCTTTAGAGAACACTAGGATATAACACGGCTAATATTGATATCAATGCTTAGAACCATAAATTTACCTGAAAGATTGAAATATGTCAACATGCTGTCATTATGCAAAACAGCTACTTGAATTGTATCATTTTCATCGGTATAGGTAGTAATTTCAGTAATATTGCCAGATATAGCTGTAATAGAAAGAAGAAAATAATCAGCATTAATTTAAGTGACAATCGAATTTTATATTTACTAAATATTACAACGATTGATGACCGGGTTACTACGGTAAAAAGGTGCTAGTCAATCATATTGAAATACCTAAATAGCCGTAGACTTGAAATTTCGATGTAGCATGAGCACTGCAGATGAATAAATTGCCATCATTAGACCCAGCCAGGAGGTATCGCCCTTGTACATCATGACTAGATCGGAATCAGATTTAATATTTAGTATGACAGTTTAATGAAGCAATCCGATCGATCGAAATTATATGATTTATCAGTTATGTAGAATTCTTACGCTAATTTAGTGATACAGGAATGAAATAGACGATTACGATAGATAATTCTAGGCGATCTTATTTCATTAATATCAACTATGAAGATATAGCCATTCTCTGTTCCAATAGTGACCGTTTTCGATGATGGGCATGAAACCAAACAACTAGCCTGAGTATACAGCAACAAAAAAAATTTAGCAGTTATGTTATCCTAATATGAAATATGATATTAATTTCTTATATCTTATGTTAGCAATTCATTACTTGGCATCCTATAAAGCAGGTAGCATCAAGCGAAGGCTCCTGAATTGCCCATAGCTGCAAAGTTCCGTTTGCTCTAATGGTCTACAATAGTATTGTTAGAATCAAATTGAGAGTATGGTAAACAGAAATGAGGATACAATAGTTTTATTAGGCCAAGAACGAAATATTTCTATTGATAGCATATTTACGTAGTAATCGTTAGCTAAGTTTATGAAAGGCTTTAATAATGCTTCAAATCATAATTTAATAACCTACCACGCAATAGTCATTTTCTGGATAGATACATTCAAGGCCAACAAATTTACCATAATGATGATCCAGCAATAGATTTGCATTTGGTATATTCCAGTTTCTTATAAAATGAATCGTGCCCTATAATGACATGTAGGTGATAAGTATGCAAGATAGAAAATAGACTTAAGTCAATTCATTTATAAAAAAAATGAATTGCAAACCTGACGACTCCCGACACCAAGAATTTCAAAGTCAGATGACCAGGTCAAGGATGTAATTTCACGGCCAATTTCAATTTGATCCAATATTCTTGGTTCATCTAATGTTACATCAAGTGTACGGATTGCTCCATCCTAAATAATCATAACGTTAGCAAAGTCAATCATGCTGCAATCATCTGAAAATTTGGATAAAAAATTTAAAGGACTAATGACATTAGTAATTAAGCGGATAATAGATATGATTCTTACAGTTCCACCAGCGTATAGTCCATCTTTATGGAGTGAAAGGCAACTAAAGGCTCCAGGTCCAATTAAATCAAATGTTGGTGAAGGTGTCTGCCCAAGTTTTAAATCGATATCTGTCCAATAAAGCAACAGTTTAAATTATAATTATAGGCATGCATCTATATCATATTCTGCTACAAATCTAGCCATAGCCAAAATTATCTTTGTTTAATATACCCGTATTACCTTGCTCAATACGACTAGCAGCGGCACTACTAGGCTTGCTCAAAGGTGTAGTCGGAACAGATGGAATGGTATGCTTATGCCGCGGATTAATTAAAATATTCAGAGTGCTATTATAAGTAGCATCAATAATGACAAGTTGTCCACCTCTACAGCCAATATAAATATTGCTGAAACAGGAATAAAATTTTACAATAGATTAGAAACATCGTGACAATGCTAAGATAAGTATTATTATGTAGGCGAGATATTATCATGATTTGCATGGAAATCATCTCTTTAAGATTAATTAACGGGTAATTAGCGTTCTTAGCCACATATATTAGCCAAACCTCATCAGAAAACGGATAAACACCTTTATATATGGATGATAGAGCTATCGAATTTTTAATTAATTCTATATTTATAGTAAAGTTTGAGTTATATTTTAGCTAGTATTTCGTATTTTAAATTTAGACGGTTTTATCCATGTTATCATAGCCTTCGAGTTATTTTGGACAGGTAAGAGTCAGTATTTCATTGGTTATACAATACCTGTTGGCCGACCAACAATGTGATACAGGGACAACTAAGTGCTTGCTTTTCTGTTCTCGTCTCGCTTTAGCCGCAGTTCCAGCTAAAATATCACGTACTGATTTAGAAATAGTTGTAACAGCACTGGATAATCGTGTCGATTGGCGCGTTTGGAGATATCGATTACTGTCTGCTGAGACGATTCCAACTTCATCGACAGACGGTAGAGTAATATTGCTGAAAAGATTTCATAGACGTATATGTTACATATAAATAATACATAAACTATCGAAAATGATCATGGATTATATATATTATCGAACCACTCCATTGACTTACTGTCCACTCAATAAATATTTGTCATTTGCTTGTTCAATATTCCACATGGTGATTTGGTGATGACTGTAGGTGCACATATTATGCCAATTAAGTGGATCAAAAGTAATGCATGACGTCTCTACCGTAGGTCCATTAGTAGAACACAGCAATTTATTGTTACTCCAGTCCCTATTCATTTAATATTCACAAATACCTCATAAGTAGATTCTTGATATAATATATTTTCATTCATAGCGGAATAGGAAAAGCTAAATATTATTATTAAGATTTTATTTACCAAACGGATATCAGAAAGTCAGGTACACCAGTAATGAAAGAAATGTATGTTCCATACGTTGAAAAAGTAAATGCTGATATTTCCAACTTTGCTATACCTAGTTATTAAAGAGATTCAATCAATTAATATTTATCGATATACCATACCACCGTAAACTAGTACAAATAATGTGATAGAGTCAGTCTAACGTTCAAATAGATTCAATGAACTACCTGAAATTACACATTTCTCTTCAAAATTTGGAAATGAAATAATATGAATGCTTGGATTTAAGCCAATCTCCGAGTACGCAAAAACTTGATATTCTTTAGAGACGGTAAATAGACCAACACTTTTAACGTTAAGGTAATGATAATTTTGGTCCTTGGTTTCTGTATTTATAAACTTTATATTTCTTCCAGCCAGAAAGCAAATAGTGACTTCATCGATAAAGTGAATAGGGCCACCATTATAGCCTTGCATCCAGCTAGTAAAGTAAGATTTAAAATAGATAAATACTAAACGTTAGAGCTGTTTCCTGACAGAAAGTAGCTATATTTATTAACATTTTTTTCATTAACACTTAATGCTGCCCCTACTCGATGTAATTTTATAAATATACCAGATAAAACTTCTCATTAATTTAAATGCATCGACCTATAGAGTTAGATTGTGTGTTGTAGCTTATTTTAGCAATAAATTATACGAAATTAAGACAGCAAGTAATAATTTTATAATTGTTTAAACTTGATTTAAATTAGATCAATGCTTCAGAGTTAGCATACACGATGTAATATAAAATAATGCTCTAGTTTGCTTTATAGCCGTTTCTTTATGATCGACATAATATTAGAGACTATCAAGATCAGCCATGGATTATTTATACCCTTTTCGATGAAAATTATATGTAATTGTGTAACTAGTATGTAAGCGTGAACTTTACATTAACCTTATTGATAGTCATAAAATAAGTAGTACAATCGTATTATTACAGATCAATAAACACTCTAACGATCTTAGTTAGCTATGAAGACAGAACAGTATCTGGTACATTAAAATTTCGGTTGTGGTCGTTCAATCTGATCGACAGCTATAGTTTAGATCATTGCTCTATCAAATCATTCCACTGCAAAGTAAGTTCCATATCTGTCTATTTAGCTAGATATTATATCGATCATAATCACAATATGCCTAACTCATAAAATGCGACCATTTCAAATAAACAATGTAAAGCGCATAACAAATATTAAAAGTAGTCAATGAAACAGAGAACATTTTAATCTCTCATTGATCAACTCTGTGGTTGAATATTCTATCTGTTATACCAATAAATCATTGAACTATAATACGATTTTTATATTAACTCTTTAACTAATGATCGTTCATTGCTGTGTCTTCATCTGATTAAAATGGTATATAATGGTATCCTTGTATACCTTGCGAAATCACGCAAGACTGCAGCAACGAAAAATACCTGAGAAATAATCATATCTGTATCTATGTTGTCATTTTACCTACCTCATTGGTAATAATGATAAATTCTCCATTTTGGCTGGTTTGTCAATTTAATATTACTTATTATATGTAGAAGAGTCAACAGATTTAAGAACTTAGTCAACGTTCTATCAACTGACCGAATGCAATTACTGTTTGAAGGGTTGCTAGGGTAACAAGGGTCATGCGCAGACTATGCTCTTGTACGGTGTATCCAGTACTCAAACATAATATACGATAATACAGTCTAGACCAGATCGGCCAGCTTATGATTTCAATTCCAACCTGTGGACAGCACAGACTATACAGAATACGGACCAGAAGCACAGACATTTGGACAATCGGATATTACTTGCAGCATATCATTTGTAAACACAGCTCTAGTCATCAAAATGGCTGCGATGTTCTGATTGCCGAGGTCGAAGATGTCGATCACTGATTTCACCTTATATCGTGATGAACTAGACGATATCTTCTTTTCCGGGAGAAGCTATCTGCAACGGTAAGATGTGGATCAATTATCTTTACCATAGATTATATTGTGTGTAGATACTTAGTATGCAATGTCATCAACGATATTATCGAAGAGTAGTGTAGGAAATAATTTTTCTGCTGTTAGGGAGACTAAACATCATAAAGACTTTTGGTTATTCTGCGAACGGTATTATCGTTATCAGAAGAATAAATCGCCATCCATTCCATCAGGTGACAAATTACCAATATAGCTGAAATTAATACGAATGATGGTGTACGATATGGCATTTTGAATTCGTTCTCGCATGCAATTTGCAGTTTCGAGCTGTCTGTAATATTGTGGTTTTGATGATGATCTGTAGATGGAGCTGAAGGATATTCAAAACTTGACCTACCTTTAAAATACGATAAAAGATACCGATGCAACTTCAGTATATTATTTCATCAAAACTACGGTAATGCCATATCAACGGAGATAACGTACGATTCCTAAGAGAATCTATACAGATAATAAAGACTATGTAATCGTTTTCATGGTATAGATCATTTGCCCAGAGGTTTGAATCAGGAAAAGCTTAAAGAGTTTAAACAATTAGTTCATCTCTACGAGGACTTTAATCAAAAGCAAAAGGTTAAAATGCATGGAATGAAAATCAAAGAGATATAATATCTCATTGAAATGGCCTATAATAATGTCAATATTAATAACGTGAATCTTAGTGAACAGATATCGATTCTTATTCATTCATATATTCTTGATAATTATGATGATATTTCAGTAAATTCAAATAACAAGCTACACATTAGGTTGATGATCTAGCTGTAAAAGAAAAACTAACAATTGCATTAAAGTATGCTAAAATAGTCTCTATCACTCTTAACATGATTCTAGTTTGCTAAGATACGTAAAATTAAGAACGATCAGAGCAACTTGCCAATAAGTCAGTACCGATCAAAAATTATTACTGCGGTTCAGCAAAATCAAGTAGTGATCATTGCTGGTGATACGGGATGTGGCAAATCAACGCAGGTAATCTAAATGTAGTCATGCAAATTAATATGATACTGTAACATTAGGGTTAGATGCAAATGTTTATTGATATCATGATCACTGCAAAGAAATGGTAAATACTGTATTACTCTCTAGGTACCTCAATACCTGTTAAACTCGGGATTCAGCCATATTGCATGTACCCAACCACGTAGAATTGCATGCATGTCATTAGCAAAACGTGTCGGATATGAGATGCTCAATCAGTATGGTTCAAGAATTGCATATCAGGTTGGTATAGAATTAACACAATATGGATTTATCCACTGTAGAGGCTACTAGTTGCCTTTAAATTCGCTAAAAAATATGGCGTTTATTACATACTAATTCGCACATTGGATTTTAATAAAATAAAGGACATTTTTAACATTGCTACTGAAACCTATTCATATAGATTCGATTTGAAGAGAGCAAAACACGAGCTACCAAGGTGCTATTTTTGACGGAAGGTAAAGTTTTCAGTCAACAATAATGTACTGTGTATCAGTAACAAAATTGGGCATAATTTTAATTGTAAAATTTCCGCTCGAATTAGAGCTGGTTCTCTAGCATTCCTTAAATCTTATTACTATATTAGAATGTATCGACTTTGATGTGATATAGTTACTGTACACTTTAATGTATCCAAACTTGCTCGATTAATGTACCATATCAAATATTTTTATTGTTAGGTCTTTTACTACGACAGTTAGTATCCGACCCAACTCTGTCATTGTATAACGTTATCGTTGTTGATGAGGTTTGAAGTTTGAACTATTAATTTATATTTGAAGGACGATGAAGGTCCAATCTTAATGGACAGATAATTTAAATTCTATTTTTAAATTATATCCTAGGTTCATGAGAGACATGTTCAAGGAGACTTTCTTTTAGGCATTTTAAAGGATCTGCTACCAATTCGACGTGACTTGAAATTGATATTAATGTCCGCTACTATTAATATTAAGTAAATGAAACTTATCTTCAGTAAAACAATATGAGAGTTAAAACAAAGCTGAGATCTTAAGAATTCCTTTAATATTATCTTTTTACTATCTTAGCTTATTTGCAAATTACTTTGAAGGTGCTCCAGTAATCAAGGTAATTTCAGCACTTTTATTATGAAATTATTACGCATGCTACAATAATTTTATACTAAATTAGGTTTTAATTCGAATAAGGATTGTTTGATACGTTTAAGAAAATTTGTATCTTCACTAGATTCCCGGTAGATTGTATCCAATCCAATTGGAATATGTCTCTCAACTCACGGTAATTAAATTTCTACTATCATGACTACCTAATATTTGAAATTTTTCAGGCACTTTATAGTGGACTAAATGACCTAAAATCGTATTTTTTATACTTAGTAGTGATATGTCTTCTAGTATGAAAAGTGTATTGGACAGTACATTGATTAGACTTTTAGTAATGCTTGCTATCTTATTACCAGAGATGTTCGTTATATCTATTGTACTATAAATTATAACATACGCATATTCGGAAACGTAGTCTAAGATGAAAATTCGAATTGAAATTACGTCATGCTCGTAGTTAAAATACATTATCACTGAAAACTCTGTGATATTAGATATTGCTAATAGTCATACCAGGCCATAGTTAAAATTGGTCTTGGAATTTAAGTTTTGTAAATTAAACTATTTTAAAAATTGCCATAAATTAAATAGTAGCTGGTTATGTCTCTGAATTGTTCCATTAAGTTCTCATAATGAAACTAACAGCTACATTGCTATTTCTTGTAACCATCATAGATTCGGGAGTCCCGCGAATTTGGAGGTACAGCTGATCGATTTGATACATCTCCTTACTTGAAAATTATGCAAATTATTGACGAAAAGGTATTTTGTGCAGTTATGGAATACCATACCATATCAATTAAACCTTTGGCAATTAGACGTTGACAAATTACCTGACTATCGTGTTTTTGCCTTTTTCAGTACCCTGACAACGAACGTGGTGATATGCTCGTATTTTTAAGTGGCCTATCAGATATAACAGCCTTATTCGAAGACGCTCGAAATTATGCTTTGAAAACCAAAAAATGGATTGTTTTATCATTACATAGCTCGCTTTCTGTCGAACAGCAAGAAAAGGTATAAATATTTTGTTCTTAGATTAATGTGTAAAGAAATTAGTTTCTTTGAGTTTCAAAGATCTCATTTGTCGCAACCATTTAGGTATTTGATATTGTACCAGAAGGTGTTCGAAAATGTATTATATCTACTAATATCGCTGAAACTTCAGTTACTATTGATGGAGTTAGATTTATAATCGATTCTGGAAAGGTAATTCTATTATGAGACTGGTCGATAAGTATGACATTATAGCTAATATTGACTTAATATTTTGGCGACTTAGGTAAAAGAAATGAGCTATGATTCGGGAGCTAAGATGCACCGACTACAAGAATTTTGGATTAGTAAAGCGAGTGCAGAGCAACGAAAAGGACGTGCCGGTAAATCCATTTTCTTTCTTATAATGTCATTCTTGAAACACTATTATTAGCTTTAAAGTTTATCTTAACGTAGTATTAAAGAAAGTATTAATATATCTTGTAGGTCGAACCGGACCAGGAGTATGTTTCCGTCTGTATTCGGACTCGGAATATGAGGCTTTCGAACAGTATTCTACACCGGAAATTCGACGCATTTCCCTTGATAGTTTAATATTACAAATGCTTCTTTTAGAAATCAAGAATCCCACGGAGTAAGTAATTTAAAGATTAGTGATAATAGTATTCACTTTTATAAGAGAGATTAAAAACAGTATGATCATTGTACGTCAACTATACTGCTTTTCTAACGCTTTCACGTATTCACATTGAGCCCATATGTGCGGATAAATTGATGATTAATAAATTATTCATACTTTGATTGGCAATTGTCGTAATGGCTACATGTATACTATAACATTGTTACAGAAGTAATTTTGGCTAATTATATTATTTTCTTCATATACACTCGTACATACTCAAGATGTACGTGCCGACTGATTTCTTAACTGGCAACGATGCCACTGTTAATTCGTTCATTTTAATTTATCTCGGACTGTGTAGTTTCCCATTCATTGAACCACCATCCAAAGCTGCACTCGATCATTCGGTTATATCATTGCAAGATCAGGTGCGGTACCATTTGCACTTGAAATTGTAACTTCTGGAATATAAATCCGTAAATTAATAGATTGAATTATGCTAATAAGTTTGTCATTACTGGTTATTATTATTTTAATTTAGGATGTAATAGAAAAGGAGAATATGAAATTGACAGTAATTGGGAAAATGTTAGCTAATCTTCCGGTAGAAGTCGTTATTGGCAAGACATTAATTATGGGGACGTTATTCAAGGTCTAACTTTATGAACTATAATACTCTTAACAATGCATGCCCCTTATAACATTTGCAATGTTAATATCGTTACATACTTTCAGTATTGGCTTCTAATAATTAATTCACGTCATAAAATTTAGATTATCCCTTCCATCGTAACAATGGCCGCTGCACTTGCAGTTCAGTCTCCATTTTATAAAACTGTTGACCAAGGCAGTGAAATTGCTGTAAGTTTCACTGGCTTTAGAATTACACTAAGATAGATAACGAAGTTAATTATAGATTCTAAGCTTACTAGATTTCTAGATCTTATTTGCAAGAATTGATTACATATATTAAAACAGAACGCTCGTGAGGAAATTTTATCTACGGAAGGTGATCCATTTACTTTATTGAATGCTTACAATGCATGGCTACAGGTAAGGATGACGAAGGCTGCTATATAAATCCCAATCATATACTTATTAACCACAACGAATATTGGTACTGCGGCTCTTAGGTTAAAGCTGAGAGGGAAATTCCATCTAAAAAATGGTGTAGACAGCGCGGGATAGAAGAACAACGATTTTATGAAATGTCCAAGTTGCGATTGCAATTTTTAGATCTATTACAAGTCAGCTATTTTAGATAAGCGTTATATAACTTGCAATATCTAAGGTACTATTTTAAAACTAAAATAATAATCGTCTCCATGATAGGATCATCATTTGATCTCTGAGAAAGAGGTAAATGATAAAAACGATCCGTTCAGAAAGCAAAGCATTGACAAGAAACGAGAGAGAAAGAAACAGCTGCGAGACTTAAAGCGGAAATATGCACGTGATAAATTGGGTAAAAGGAAGATGCTTCGAATGGATGGTGAAGTATGTACTAATAGTTGATCTCAACACTTATTTTCTCGTAGTCAGTTCTGATTAGTTACCATAAACATTTAATCAATATTTTAGCATGCACAAAACTTTAGCGATGACGAAGTAAAAGAAACAGATTTCCGCGATGCTGAATTCAGATTGTTGTATGGCGACCATAGATCAAGGGTTAGGAAACGATTTTACTTCAACGTGTTATATAGATATAAGGTTCTTGAATTTAATATTTCGTACTGAATGTATTAAGGATCGAAAGGAAAAAAAACAGGATGATTACGATGAAGAAGATCCACGTACCGTTTTATTGCATAAAGTTGTTTTAGTAAGGTATCAATTATCAACACTATTTGATAAACTCAATTTGATAGCTCGAAAAATATTTTAATTTGTATCGTCATTGGTGCATTAGTGGATTGTACCCAAACATCGCTCTAGCTGACGAATGTAATTCCTGGAGAAAAGAGAATGAGCAAATTTTTCATGCGAAGGTGAAGCGATAATTAGTGGCGCTGGAATTATTTACAGGATAGCATTAGGAAGTGTATGGTATTAGTAATATTTCAATGCTATGTTTAAATTAGACTAAATCATTTGTTACACCACATCCTGGAAGTATATTTGCTATGCAGCCTCAGCTTCTTCATCCACAGGTAACAGCAGCGTGGTAGGGCTGATACTGTATGTTTGTATTCTATTGTAAATACCAAACAGCCAAAGCTAACAGTAACGTTAATAAAGCCGTCATATCTTCTTTAATTAATTATAATCCAAGGTTTTACTTTAATAATTACTTTGTAATGTAGCAATCTCATTTTTTTAATTTCAGATTATCAGCAACAAAGATGAGAGCCAATTAGCCAATCCTAGAAGTGCTCTCAGTTCTGGACATCAAATTATAGCATACGTGTAATTTTTCTGATTAAAAATATTTTCCATTTAACGCTACTAAAATCCTAGCTAAAGACACTTTTTACGAATTATCTTAGATTAAGTTAATTAAATAAATCTGCATTTAGATCCTTATTAGAAACAACAAAGCCATACTTTGTCAATGGTATTCGTCTACCAGCTCTGCAAACACTATTACTATTTGCAAAGAATATCAAGACCGATCGTACATGTACCAGGTTGTTATGTGTAGTATTTAAGAGAATGCCGTTCATATATATGTTTGGCGGTCATATGTACTCCTATACCTACGTACTTGAAACGCATGCTGTTAATAACGTTTACTAAAATTTATACGTATATCATCCGATTAGAATGATTTTCGATAACTGGTTAGAAATTGGATTATATCCTGACTGTCGGAGATGTGGTAAAATGTTAATCTTATTAGTCCAAGTTAGAAATATGTGGAACCAACTACTACAATTTCATGTCGATAAAGGTAGATAACGTTGATTTATCATCCATCCAATTTGATGTTTAAAAGAATTGCATTATATCCGTAATTGGAAATATCTTCAATTTGTTAACTCCATTAGATGTTTTGGACGGTAAAAAAGCGAAAAGTTTAGACGAATTTCAAGACAAATTAAAAAAGAAAATCTATCGCATATGTGATGATTCAATTCGATATACAATTAAGAAGTATGCTGATGCAAGTAACATGAAAAAAACTGAGCAGTTAGGTTAGTATTGACCTGTACCAGTTTGAATATATATGATGTAATCATGTTATCATTTGATACAGATAGCACTCATGTAACCGACAAAGAAACTATAGAATCTAGTGATACGAAAGACCTCACTCAAGTTCAAATAAGTGATTATCTGGAATATGATAGGTATTCATGATGCTGACAATAACACGGAAAAATTGCCTGTTTGGTGTACAGTATAATAAACTATACCTTTTGTTACTGGTATATTTTAGTTTGGAAACTACCGAAGATCGGTGTAAAAGTAACACATTAGAGTATCTAGACTCGAGAACGTGGTCTTGCAGTTTGTGTAATACGGAAATGAAAGCTAATTTTGTTGAACGCTTAAAACATTCAAGTGAATGCACAATTCTGCAGCATAGTAAAGGTCAACGTTTATACATGTAAAATCTAAAGTATTGTTTTATCATCGTGCCCTGTTTAGTAAAGTGTAGATCTTTTAAAAAATTATCTGTAGGATTAATTTCAAGTACTAAATCGGCGACTGAGCAAATTGCTAGAAGGCTATACAAGTGTCCGGTATGCTTTGAAGAATTCAACTTTAGCGCGATCGAAATCTTAAGGCACAAGAAATCTCACACGGAACAGGCTGCTGAAGGAAGCTCTTCTGTCATTAGTAATGAAGGGGGAGAAGATAATACGTTAGTAAAATCTGATGGATAACTCAATCTATTTTATAAGACGGTTATCGTTATTTTTATATTGCTGGAGATGAGTTCAAGCTTTTATTATCAGATTATGTCATGGAACTAGCCGAAATAACAATTTGATATGTAAATATTCATTATTTCAAAGCCTTTATGCGATGAACCTATTACTTTGTAACATCTGGATACTGTAGATAAGGCTAAATAAATGTTAATTTATTGTTATGTAAAGCAGTTTAATATAGTGGTATTTATTATATTAACGGTACTAATCTGAACGATTGGTTGCATGCAGTGTAAACAGTTTAGTAAACGACATTTTTTAGTATGGGTGTGAATCGATCATTCCAATTCTAGTACTGTAGTACACAACAACTGTCTTCCACCGCATAATGTGCATATGCCAACCTCTAGACTCATCGTATGCTTAACAAACTATACTATCGGTCTGTACAGAGTCCAAGAATGCCTTATTAGGGTACTGTTAAGGAATATAAAGTAATAAAATATAGTAAAAATGCGCCTATCAATTTATCTATGCATGCCGATGAAGAATTCACGCATGGAAATTTCCATTTTGATGTGAGCTAGCTAGCCAGCTGTGCAGAATTTCCCCAGCTTCTTAGTCTATACATCTGTCCGTCGAGTACTCCACAGTGTACAGTGTACAGTGTACAGTGGAAATTCTCGCGGGAAATTCGAAGCATGCTTCTGCTTGTCATAAATTCACAATCCAGCTTAACTGGTAGTAGAGTGTATCAAAACATGGAGTAGAAGCAATAGAAATCAAGTCTATTGGCAAGCTAGGCCCAAGAGTACAACAAGTCTACTGCCAACATCAGTCAGGATCGGCGGCCTTTACTTTGGCTTTCTGGCCATTTTCTGAAGGCTGATGTTGTTGTTTTAAGGCTAATAATATTATATTAGAAGTTTTTATCCACCTTCAAGACCCTCTAGACGAGAGGTATTAACATATCCATGTAGAATTGAGGTGAATCGAAAATTAGAATCTCTGAATTAAACTCTTGGAAGCATTTCTAAATCAGTCATTGATGAGAAAGATGGACTTGTCGGCGAGTGATGAAATGCTACTCTACCAATGGCAAGAGAATTATTTTGCGTTAGAGAATACTCAAAAGATAGAAGAAAAATTGCGTAAATTAAGGCATTTAAAAGCTATATTACAATGCCATCATCTTTCCAATCAAAGGTAATAAAGCTGGAAATGAGTTTATGGTAGTTATATGTATAGTAAAGCTAGTCTATCGTAAGCAGCTAGACATGGAGTTGTAGTTCCCTTTCGTCGTACAGTAAATACTTTAATATTTGGATTAAATAGAATTGAAATACTTTAAAGCAAATGATTGTCAATCTCGAATCTATTTGATAGCGCTCATGACTGTGCAACATTGACTGAGGACAAAATTAATTCCATGTATTCTACTGCATTTGCTCAAGGTATGTTGGCAGCAATGGTTCATGCTATCATCTTGATTGCAACTTCGACAATGTTTTCTATCGATCATTTGCCAATTAGTTCATATGCATAGCCTACAAAGTTTTTTACAGATCATGGATAATAGCTAAATGTTGTTTTCTTGTATGGTAACATAATCAATCCAACGACAACGAAATAGCTGTCATGGAACCGTAGTATTTGTGTTAATAATTTCGCTCGTCTTGACTGCAAAGGATCTGTTCAAGACTCTATAGTCTATACTATACAATGTACACGTTGTTAATAGTAACGATTCTATCGTTTTGTATAAATTATTTATATAGTTATGAATCGATTGTACTGCGGATATTCCCTACTTTCCGTAGAATATAATCTCTCAATATGCACGATATTTACAATCATAACATTTTATATTTTTCGTACTTAGTTCCGGTTGTTGGCCAGGGCTCTTCATCCCAGGGTTAGTTCAATCCGACAATACGTACCAATCAACGCAATATAACTCTCTCCTAAATGATCAATTTGGATATTTTGAGATGTTTTTGATAAACTTTGCTTTCGTTATCACAATAAATGGATAGATACAAATAGTTCCATTACCGCTGAAAAAGTTATGGAATGTGAAGCGTTTAAGAAATTGAAAGAGCGATGCGAAGTAAGATTATGATTGATGGTTAAATTCTGCATATGCTGTAACTACTTTGGCTGTAGTTTGTTGAGAAAGTAAAGTTAAAAGGCATTTTACAACTGTAACGTCTAAACTCTGTGATCTTTTATTACAGATGGAGAAAAATAAAGTTATAACTGTAAATTTGCAATCGCAAGAAGCCAATATGAGACCTGTAAATAATAATAATAATACGACTGCTCCTGCTAAACCATTTGCTTCAACTAGTGTAGCGAAAGAGGGAACTTCGAGAAAAACCTTAGTGCAGGTACTTCTCCATAGTTCATGCCTATTATGCTATATCCAATGTATTGCCATGTAAGACTAATGCACCTTGCAACAATGATGACCAATTTTGCTTACATTTTGTATGATATGATACGATATTTAGTTGCAAATTGGTCATCATTATGTCGGTATGAAAGCGTTAGTGAACATTTGTGATGTACAAACCTATACCCTACTGCTGTTCTGATTGAGTCAGCCTTGGCATTATTACTCCTATAACGCATAACGATGTTGCTATTTATCGTTCAGACATATTTAACCAAGGAGCCACCCAAGAAGCAGCCCTTCCGTAAATATAAAGGTCTTAATAGATAAATAGAACAACCCGATTAATGTGCGATAACGTAAACGTGTAAAAAGCGTAACTATAAGCACAAAAAGAAAATCAAGCTAAAAAAAATAATATTCAGTAGGGATAGTCACGCAAGCATAATAAGAAATATTCATTGCCGCACTTATATGATAGAATGCTCTTGTATAGAAATTAAGGTTAAGTTTTTTCCAAACCTTTCATCACTGACTATAATTACTAAAATAACAAATTTGTCGACTATTTAGCTTTTGATAGCGTCGAAGAGAGTCAATCGGATGGTAATGTTAATGAAAATGAAGAAGATAAAACCAACAACAAGAATTCATTTTTAACTGCTCGAGAACAATTAGTAAGTTCAGAAGATTATAAAATATGCCTCCCTTAAAAATCTAATTGGCTTAAATTATGCCATTGCTCATAAGTCTTATTCACCTAGATATATCTCGCATTATTTACCCACTAGGTAATTAATAATCAAAAGAAGTTTGGAAATAATAACCAAAGATCTCAACCAACAGCAAGTAACTACGGCTTACATAAGCGTTCCTTGGGAACCAGACGTACTAGTGCTGGTGGAAGATTTATTGCTCCTATCTTAAATAGAGATGATAATAAGTAAACGTTGATATTCTGTTTGTACAGTATTTAACCACTAACCTGTTACTGGTATTATTGAAGTCAAGTATTTATCAGTTTTCTTTATTGTGCATATTCTTCCAGATCATATAGTGGCCGAAGCTCTGATGGAAATTATGATCAGAACACTAATTCCGACTGCCAAGATAAATTATTAGATGATAGACTTAAGAATGTCGATCAGAAAATGATAGATTTAATTATGAATGAGGTAACTATTATTCGAAACTGTCATTTTTTGAAGGATCGTGTTATCACATTACCAATGTTGGTAAGCAACACGAGGTGTCAACTCATGCAATATTTGTTCTCTACATCTTGCCCTACAGATCATTGATCATGGCCCTACCGTCACATGGGATGATATATGTGGATTAGATTTCGCTAAGAAAACTATCAAAGAAATTGTCGTTTGGCCAATGCTTAGGCCGTAAGTACTTAACTCAAACTGTACATTTACTAGTTTATATGGTTTGTGTTCTTATTGGAAATATTAGGCCTTCATCAACTCACACTGTTGTTATGTAGTGACATTTTTAAGGGCCTTCGAGGCCCACCAAAGGGTCTCCTCTTATTTGGACCTCCAGGCACTGGCAAGACCTTAATAGGTATTTAATACGTTCGCTCTGGTAGATTTTGCGTTTGTCTTTATAGTTTTCAATGTTATATTGATCGCTTAACTATTCAGGGAAATGTATCGCCGGTCAATCGAATTCCACATTTTTTAGCATAAGCGCCTCTTCATTAACCTCTAAATGGGTAAGAATAGAAATTTTCAACTCTTCAGTTATTTGTGAATCTGAACAGAAAGTCTAGTGGCTCTTATATACAGCGTCAATAAATCTGCAACCAAGATCGCTTTTAAGTTAGGACAACATTAAGTTAAGCGAAGTGATCATAACTATAGGTTGGAGAGGGTGAAAAAATGGTTCGCGCTTTATTTGCTGTGGCTAGATGTCAACAGCCGGCTGTAGTCTTTATTGACGAAATTGATTCCCTACTTACTCAGAGAACTGATGGAGAAAATGAAGCTTCTCGTAGGATAAAAACTGAGTTTTTGGTACAATTGGTAAGACTTAAGATGCAACTTTATAATGTTTGAGACTGTCATAGTTAGACAGCCGAATAAATGATTACTTGTTTTAGTTGTCTTTAAAAATGTTGGCAACTGTATATTTATAACTCATGCAACCGCTCTTTCTCTTCTACCAAATCATTAATGTACAGGATGGTGCTGCAACGAGTACTGACGATAGACTGTTGGTTATAGGTAAAAGGCTACAAGATTTATTGTATAGCAAATTATTGTCATACTACAAGATTGATTAGCTAAACTCTATCGTCTCTATTTACGTTATTCTAGGAGCGACCAATCGGTAAAATGAACTGTATCAATTTCTTCAAATTTAAATTATTACCCTTTAAATGTTCAATTTATACTCTTGAAGGCCTCAGGAAATTGATGAGGCTGCTCGACGTCGACTGGTTAAGAGGCTATATATCCCGTTACCCCAAGCACCGGCTCGAAGACAAATCATTCTAAACCTATTAGCGCAGCAAAATTATAGCCTAATCGATACAGAGCTTGATGAAATTTGTCAACGATCTGAAGGTAAAACGCTTATTTAAATGGCAATTTTACGTAGATCAACTAAAGTGTGAAGTATTTGCGCTGAGTATGATATTTAACGTTCGATATCAATACTAACAGGCTACTCCGGCTCCGATATGAGTAATTTATGCCGTGAAGCAGCCCTAGGTCCTATTAGATCAATTGACTATTCGGATATACAAAATATTTCTGCGGATCAGGTATAAAGTATTTACAATTTTAATGTTTGATGTCTTCTTGAAATCACGGTTGTTCAGTATCATCTTAAAATTATTGTAAAAGGTCTAATTCAATGTTGATGTCATTGCTATAAGGATGTAAATTTATAATTTTATGAATAAGTTACACAATGATTAAGTTTCTGTATTTTTTAATGAATTCATCAATGGACACATTATAAAACTACTGGTTGTTATCACCTAGGTTCGGCCTATTGTCTTTACCGATTTTGATGCTGCGTTTCTGCAAGTGCGTCCTAGCGTTTCAGAAAAAGATTTGGATTTGTATGTGCAATGGAATCGACAGTATGGTAGCGGAGAAGCACGTTAATGCCACTTTGTTACAAAACCTAATAGGGTATCAATGACACTCTAGCTGCACCTTTCAACGGTAGAATCCAGTTCACGTATGGTACTATTAATTATCGATATTAAAATTTAAATTCGGTGGCTGTAATGTCACCAACATTCAGTATACTCGCACTGTATAATTTCGGTTAAATAGTCATATGCTACCGAGTTAATAAATCTTGAAACAAATCACGTCATAATTGAACGGAACGCATTTATCAAATCATTCCTATATTACTGAATGAATGCAGTATTTGTTTATAGAATCTTTCAACTATAAATCATATAGTATATTACCGACAATACTAGCATTTCAATCTGGTACATAACTTAAGTTATATAAAGAATATTTTGTAATAAAAAAGGCCAATTCAGTTGTTTTAAATTGCTTTATTGAACTCATCTTACTCTGCTTATAACTTAAATTCGTTGCTAACAGATTGGTGCTGTAGCTTTCACAGATAATATTAATAATTACTGATATGAATAGATCTACTTCGCGATATTTGCTCTTCCCATTATTATTACAATGAATTCGTATCAAGAACTGTTATATCATTACCTACAGTAGCAAGCATGAAAAAATGAGCCAAAGGATCTAATTAAAATTCACATCATAGACGCGATACAGTTAATAGCAATATGAAAAGCTATCTCGATAGGAGTTATCCACGCAATCAAGCCAATCAATCAATCAATCAGAGAATTAATTACCATTGTTCACCCAAAAAAGTGAATGTCTCATTATCCAAACATGAAAACGTTACAGTACTTCGATATAATGTATAAAATAGAATTGTAACGCTTTAACTGTTGATCGTCTGTAAATGATGGAGGAAAGCCAATTTGTGAAGATTATATGGTATCAATGTTACAAGGCCAAAGGCAAGGAAGGCTTTGCACGTTTTACCCAGTAGGGAATGCCACCGTTTTAGCATGACAAATTACTAAATACAACAGTAACGACTATAACAAACAAAAGTTTAAAATAGGAGATGATCACTAAGCTCTACTTATATTACTAAAAGATGCCTAATCTTAAACCAGCGATTTTAAAGTGGCATCTACTAAGTTTACATCGGTTATTATTAGTTAATTTCAACAAAAACTTGAGCTTCAGATAGCTTATTTGGTGCTGATGATATCTGCACATTGGTAGCGTTTAGTTTACAATGGATTTGATATTTCTCGTTAATTCTATTGAATTGAACGGCTACAAGGGGTTTTTGATAATTCTCCTGTCTCGTCCATGGATAATACTGTTTGAGGAATCCTATATTATCATAGATCAAGTGGAAACAAAACTTTATTGCAAAGCAAGCACCATAACCACTATTCATTTATATGACAAGATCATGACTGTCGGTATAGACTCTATGTTACTACTAAAGCATAGAGTAGATCAAATAGAACTGATTGATTCAACCAAACTGAATGTCTATCTGGAACTGTTGAGATTAGCACATTAGTAATTGAATCCAATTTAATGGGTAAAACTAACTTACCGGTATTAATGACAGTCACCGTTGGCTTAGGATCGAGGCTTTCCGCTTTGACTGCCTGACAATCAAGTGGGACATAATTTCCATTTTTATTGGCAATTTCAGGGATCCAACCCCAAACCAGATTCATTTGAACTATGATACAAGCAGTATCTTGCGAAAAGCCATAAGCAGGCGAAGAAGCACAAGCCCCCAAGTTATTAACATTGAAGGTACAAGTGTTATTACCACATTGAAACGATTTTGGATTTCTATAAGGAGTTAATAGTCTAGCAATTTGGAACCGACTTGAATTGACAGATGCTGCAGCATTGGAGTAAGACGCAGGCGTTGCAACTAAACCAGGGTTTAAGTTATACATGGTGTACTTTGGGCCAACATCCAAAGGTGGAACAGTGGTTAGGAACACCCCAAGACAGATAGCAAAGAAGCCAGCCAGACAACCATAAAAGCAAAGGTAGAAGAGTATAATCTTGTCTATTGAAAAAAGATTGCAAAGATCAGTTATTGTACAACATCTCCTTTCCACTAAGAACGAGAATAAACTCTAGTTTAAGGTATTCCATTAGCCAATAACACAGTCGTCCATTACATGACCATGTTTAAGATGGTGTTTACTACTGACAGTGAATAGTACTAGTACGGTGCTAGAACGGACTGGAGCGGACCGGTCTGGTTCGGAACGATACAGTCCTAGTACAGTACAACCATGGCCTACTTTTCCTACAGTATCTTGATTTTTTTCTCGCGATCTACAGTACTGTGCACTGTGACTGTTCAGTACACGAAGCTATACCGTACAGTGTACAGTACAGTGCGTGGTGGACTATCCAAACGTGTATAGTGCAATATGGTTTTGGTAGGTGTGGTGGCGGTCAATCAATCAAGGCCTCTTCCCTAATGGGAGCACAGGCAGCACGCTAACACCTACTGTACACCTACTGTACATTGTATTGTACCAATGTGGCATGCGCCGTCGCCCTTGGCCAATTCAATGTACACTGTACAAGGGGAAATCAATTTGGAAAAAGTTGAAAGTTTTTTATCCATCCAAATTCATTATCTGTTTATTCTATCAACTATTTTCTACTCTACGATAAAGTAGTGTAAAAGAAGTTGTTGTCAAGTCCTTGATATTGACTTAAGATAGTGGCTGATGGGCATGTTAACGGGGAAGGTTCAATTTCGTAATCAGTAAAAAGTACAGTGCGGTATCGTCAAAACGCAGCCAAACGACTCATTGAAACACAATTCTTACTAGACGCTATGGATGATACAGTAGCAAAGACACATACTGAAATGGGGCAAGGCAATTTTACGAGGTCATCATCAAGGGGACGGATAAAATGTTCACTATTTTAGCGAAATGGAAGACGATGAAGCAACGCCAAGATTGGATCAGAAGCATATTGTGTCATCAAGGCAGTCAATGTTCTCATCAATACTGTAGCATTTGTAGGACGGTAGGCAGACTCAACCAATCCAAGTTGGTTGGATCAATCGATTTGGCATTTGAAAGTGCCATCACACCATTGGCATCTGTCTATCTCATTTGAAGACATTACTACATGAATTCACTGTATCCAAAGCCCCCCCCCCTAAAATCAATGATTGACTACAGCAATGGAAAACAGCGTTGTCTGCATGCTACGCTTGTATTTACATATGCACACTTTAGCGTGGTCGCTCAAAACTTACACCAGCTCTGTTTGGTACGAAAAAAAACAGTCTTTTCACGGGGATTGTAAACGGCACGCGAAAAGCCCTGCCATAAGGTGGTCTTGGCAACCACTGAATATTTCTCTAAATAAAGATCGTTCTTTTCCATGATGATAACTTGAACTTGTTGATTCCAATAATCAATTCACTGGATAGCGATTTTCCGTCAATTTAGCCAAGGTGGGGCCACAAATCGCTAACAGCTTTAGCGTAAAGCACGAGCAAATGCAACCAATGACACCACCACCAGCGTTTATATCAATTGGACGCTACACTGTACTGTACTGTACTATGGTACTGTCACCCTGGGTTACCCATAGTGTAGGTTGACCAGACCGGGCCAGCATACAATGCGACTGGGGGATCCACAGGGGATAATCACCGGGTACCGGACTGCGGCCGACCCAATCTGTTCTGGTCCGTACCGTACTGTACTAGCACCATGTGTACAGTATACAGTGTACACTGTACAGTACTGTATACTGTAAGGAGCGACTGTCTACTGTACTGTACGACTGTACGTGCCTTTGCCACAACCAACCTGTGCGCAGTGGGCACGTGCTAGAGTAAGAGCAACCGGTACTGGACCTCGAGTGCACACTGTGGATGGAGAACGTGCACTTGCGCAGTGCAGTGCTGTACCTTCTGGCCCACTGGGTGATCCTTTGCCTGAGTCAAAGGTAGACTTTAGACAGCTAGCAGGTCCAGAGTACAGACGTAACTGTACAGCGCAGCACAGATTCAAGGTCCGCCAAGACTAGAAACGTTGCACCCAAAATAGGATGACAATTTGCACGTGATTGATATTACAAACCGTCAGCGACTAGCCTGGAAGTGGATTTGACAGCCTACTGTGCCAAAAATGAGTCCGCGATCATTGTCCAATGTCTACTCGCCCATTAAAATAACGCCATACTGTACAGTGTACAGTACAGTAGTACAGTAGAAGAAAAAAAAAGTCATACAGTACGCTGTGCAGTACAATAACTCGAGGTCTAGCTCACTCTACTGTAGGGGTACCCGGGACAGTACACTGAGTAGAGTACAGTACCGTACTACAGTATACAGTACTATATACTGTAGCCCAATGTCTACTCGCCCATTAAAATAACGCCATACAGTACAGTACGTACAGTAGAAGAAAAAAAGTCATACAGTACACTGTGCAGTACAGTACAGTAACTCGAGGTCTAGCCCACTCTACTGTAGGGGTACCCGGGACAGTACACTGAGTAGAGTACAGTACCGTACTACAGTATACAGTACTATATACTGTAGCCCAATGTCTACTCGCCCATTAAAATAACGCCATACTGTAGAAGAAAAAAAGGTCATACAGAACT